GAGTATAGTATTTATGCATACAGTAGCTGAGACCGTGTCGGAAGGAGTATACATCGAGGATCCAGCTCAGCATCTGGTGAAAGTAGTTGGAATCTTGGAGATTCGAGGAGAGTGTTTGGCAAATTGCTGGGTATGTCAGCTTAAAAATCTCAAAAGACCTCACATCTATAAGATCTCGGGACAAAATATTTGTTGACAAGCGAGGTACCGGTGGATATTGAAAAGGAGTTCAGTGATGGCATTTCGCTAGACAATTTAAAATCGTCCGCAACTATCTCTTTATTGTCAGAATGCTTGCATAGAGTAAGCAGTAATAATGGTGAGTCTTCATCAAATGACCATGGTCATTTTCCGAAGAATCCAAGGATTCTTTGCGTTGAATTTTTGGTAGCAAATTCAATAAGTGATTACGGGGAAGCGCGTACACCAGCGTCGATATTTACAACTGGCACAACGATTCTTAACAAATTCATGTTTAAGTTCTTAAAGAATGACAAGACTGAATCAGGTCCAATACATAGTGGAGGTCGATGGAGAGACTGGCGGAACCACTGAAGCGGTTCTAGAAACTTGGAAGACATGTAAAGGCCTGATAAAGGTGCTGACTGCCCAGTACAATACGCCTACTTCCAAACGACCCACAGGTGACTGATTTGCTCCATCAGATTCAAGGTCGCGATTTGTATTGCATGTAAATCGGGCATATCAATTCTTACAGATTTCCCTTGCAAGTAAGAGATCCGAAGCGAAATTCGCAATGACAGCATCTAGCCCGGCAATCTTTCCGCAGCCCTCGTCGGAGGAGATAGCTTCTATCAACCATAGAGCTCAGATCAATCAGAGAACCTAGCAAAAATCAAAGTATGTCGTCCACACAAAGGATGATTTAATTCCATGAAAACATACACAGGAAAGTTATCAATATTTTTCCTCGAAGCTTGAGTTGAAACCGGTAACGTAGTTTAACACCGAGTGGGCTATATCACCGAGTGGACCACTTTCACCTCAATTTACATTTTCAAATACAGATTATTCAATAATTATTAAATCAATTAATTTAAATTATTAAAATCTAATAATTTAGGATTTATTATATTATTTTGATAGATTCTTATATTATAATTTAACTTTCTATACTTACTATAATATTTATTAGAAAATACTTTTCTATTAGGATTCCCCTCATTTTGATGCTTATTGTATTGAATTTAAATATCAATCTTTTATTAAAATAATATATCAAAAACCTCTTATTCAATGAATACTCCTTCTTGATATAATTGAGTTTTTTTTATATGTTAATATTTACTTAATATCTTATTTGCTTTTCGAAATATATAAATCTTTATATTCAAAAGTATATTTTTATAAACTAATCTTTCTATATTTTGAGTTAGAATTAATATAATCTCAAATAAAAGTATAGAGGAGCTTAATTAATAACGATTTATTCGAGATTTGATTAATATTAATTAAGAAAAAGCTTTAGTTGAATTATAAGAGATTTAAGAAATCTATTAATTTAGATTAAAAAAGAGAAGGGGAGGTAGGTATATAAATTCGAATATCTAATTTCAAAAATGTAGTTTCAGAATTAAATAATATCAAATCTATTCTTAGAAATCCTGATTTCATATTCTGAAAGATAATTGATTCCTTATATATAGTTTTAAAAACTATAAAGAATTCAATTTTCAAAATATAATTGATATATACCTTAATAAATCCATCAATTTAATTATTATATAAACATTTTAGATTACTAAAATAGTTTATATCAAATAATTGAATTAAATAATTTGAATGCAATAGTAAATATATATATTTAATATTATTCTTTTTGCAATAGTTTTGAAATAATATTGATTTGTGATTTTTATATCTATTCAATATCAATATTTGATATTTACTCTTTCTTCGATTCTTAATATATTTATTGAAATATTTCAATTATTCTAAACCTGTCTTATTGTTTATCTATTTATTAGATATAGATTTAATAGTCTAGTTTATAGGAAAATCGATTTTAATATATTAATTAAAAAGATAAATCTATTCTTAAATTATTAGAAATAGAGGAATAGTTTTATTCTTTTTATTCTTATATATTATTATTATAGTTTATTCTCGATTATCTAATTATATTGATTTGTTTCTATTATATTTCTTAATATTAATAATAATTATTGCTATATATATAATTCCTATTATAAAGCTTATTTTATTGAAATTATAGAAATTTTTATTCAAAATATTATATTTCGCTTATATATTTATAACTAATTGAAATTAGTTTTTAATAAATTTGGGATCTTTATAAAAAGCTCTTTGAAAATTATAAATATAATTAAAACATATCTTTAATTTGATTTAATGTTTTATGAATTGATATATTCAAAGCTTTCTAATATATTTTGTATTTCTTCTATATTCTTAAGTTTAAATGAAAAATCTCTTGAATCCATATCAAGAATATATTGAATAATCACTTTCTTTTCTAAATCTATAATTTTATAATAATTCACTTAAATCTTTATATATAAAAATAAATCGTTTATTCTATAATTGATTATTGTACAAAATATATTATATAATCAAGCAATCTATCGAATACTTAGTTTTTTGTCTTTTTGAAAAGCTTTAATAATTAAAAGTAAATGTACTTCTTTATTTGTAGATTTTATAATAAATGATTGATAAAACGCATATTGAATATAAAGAATATAAATTGAGGTGAAAGTGGCGCACTCGGTGATATAGTCTATTCGGTGTTAAACTACGTTATAGCAATTGTTCTGGATGTTATATATTTATTCGACTTGAGATGGGGAAATTGGTGAGGGAGAATGGAGGAGTTTTCAGAGGACTTGTGAATTTCTGTTCACTCTATCACGATGATGTTAGTGATGAAGTAGATTATGATTTTCTCTAATACATTTTTGGAAATAATGCTGGTACGTACCTAATCCTAGGTAGGCAAGTGCAGAATTGGGCTCGTGCAGCGAACATCATTTAAGAATAGATTAATAAGCCTTGAGATGCTTCGAGATGTACTGGTATGGTGGGGCTGATGCATGGTGGGGTAGAAGGGAGGGGAGGGAAGGGTCTTGAGAAGAAGCTGAGGATATCATATCTATCTGGAGAGGGATGATCGGAAGGAGAGATATCTGTCTGATGGTAGAATAGCTAGGTTGTAAGGATATTATTGAACTCTCTTTGATAAATGAAGATTTTAAAGATTTTGAATATATTATGGAAACCCCAAACAGGAAGGTCTTGGAGAGTCGATTTCGTGAGTTGAGGCTGATAGGTATTGGTCTTGAGTATGTACCTATGCATGTAGATAGATACTCACGCTCATCACGTTCACATGATAAGCAATTAATATATTCTTGATATCCTTAGAGGATGAGAGATGCGTGATATATGGATCAATCAATATTTGGGTTGGAAATATGAATCAGATGATGAATATGAGTTCATGTATGTTCCGAAGGACCCACTGATATGTAGGAGACTAGGAGAGTGTAGTTGAGAATGACTGGTTCGAGGTGGGTGGTGGTGGGTAGCTGAAGGAGGGTAGTTGGGAAAGAGAGAGAAGAGAACCTTGGAAGATCTACAATACTTGTACTGACGTTTTGGTAGAGTAAACGTGTCTGTTAGTAGGTAGCACTGGTCTATTGTTGTTCCATGATTAAGTGTGCAGTAAGTAGGGGCTTTTATAATTATAACTATATAACTATAAATTATCCTTCTACTCTGTAATATAGGCGAGATTTTACGATGTATTCTGGATCAAGAGTGGATGTAAATATAAAACATAGAATCTAGATACCTACCTAGTAGATAAATAAGTCTTATCTAACCCGCTCATACCTAGGCTGGATGACGTGTGTTTGCGATGTGATGGATAATGTAGCATACCTAGTACTGTATGTAGCCTTACAAATGGATATGGATGGATACGATGTGAATCATTTGAGTATAGATATGTGTGAGGTTATTAATGAGTGAAGAAACAATAGATGAACAATAAATGATAATTCTTTAATCCTTTAATAATTATATACCGTGGAGATGATTGTATTATATGGATTTACCATCTCCCTCGTAAATGCTGCTTATCGTAACCCAAGATACGATAAATATAGGTACGGAAGTATATCAAGCTGTAATAATAAGGATATAAGGGTACCCCGCATTGACACTAGTGGGTCTCACCTAATCAGTCCCAAATCCATCATAACGAGATAAACCTGCCGCCTTCGTCTTGTATTCAACACAACACAACAACCATTACAGCAAAAAAAAAAAAGAGAATCCCTCCAAAAGACATCGTGCATATTTGGTACGAGGTGCAACACAAAAATCTTCATAAATTTTTACCATCATACAATAGCTCTTGAATCCCATATCGATAATATTCCAGTATCCAAAACTTAAACGGATCACCCTGCCTATCTCTACATCTACGGTCAACCAAAAGCCCGGGGCTACCTCGATTTGCCAATAGGCAAACGATTCGGCAAGTACTAAGTTAATTAACTCCTCCCACTTTCTTGCTCCCCATTATTATTCTACGGCACTCGGTGTACTTTCTCCATAGAAATTTAAATTCGGGGATCCTTTACCTTAATCAAGCTCAGATTAATAAGAAGTAGGAGTCTCCCTCTTTCTTTCTTTCTTTCTTTCTTTCTTCCTCGTCATCTTCTGCCTCTTCTTCTTGTCGACTTTGTTATTTACCCGTATTCCTGAAAGCGGCTCATTCGACCTCCCTCACCTTCGTTCACATTTCTCTTCTTTCACATACCATCTTGTCGAGATTCGTGTTCCGGTATAATATCGTAAAAGCTAATGACATGGAGTCATCCAGCGGGCTCCCGCCTCTAGATTTGACGTCTTCAAATCCTGAAGAACATTCCAACCATTTTCGATTTCCCACTCCGTCTATCGATACGAGAATAACTACTTGGGTCGAAACCCAATCTTCCAACAACAATATGTCGACCCTCAGCGAGTCCCCATCTGATGAAAGTCACCTCTCCGAATCTACTTATGAGTTTGTCGATACAGATGATGAGAGCCATGATGAGAATGCTACCGAGTCGATAGCTTCTGTGGAGTTTGGTCGTCCTGACGATATGCAGAGCCTTGCAGATACTGAGAATAGTGATGAAAGTGGGGATCAATACACACAGAATTCCTCCATTCCTGCTTTTGGTTTGGATAACTCGATCAATAATTCTTTCAATAATCCTACCATCGGTCGAAATTCTGCTGTCTTGCATGACGATTCCGATACCCCGCTCTCACAATCTATCGAATTTGAAGAACCATTTGGTAGCCTCGGAGCCGAGAATGTGTCAGTCAAACATACAGTGGCAGAGTTCACCGAAGAACAAACTGCCGCTTCCGTGAGAGATTTGAACCTGCAAAATCCGCCCAGTCAATTGATTCTTACAATTCGACAAACCATGACCAAGCATGGTTTATCGACTAAAGACCCACTCCGCATCCTCTATGTAGGCAGCCACTCTGCAAAACAAGATATCATACACAAGATTGCAAGCTCTGTCACTGCTTCCGTCGAAGGCCAAGAGCGTTCAAGTCGAAACTCGTCTCAAATATACAATGTTGTGCCTGTATCTGCTTTTGGCTCGGAGAAAACACCGGAAATCGAACTCATGCACTCGTCTGGTTACCAAATCAAGGTTGACGATTGTTTGTCTGCTCAAACCCTTGAATTCGAGGATCAACCACAAAAGCCAGATGTAATTAAGTTAAATCTCGAGGATCACTACAGCTACCATTCTGTGCCGGAGAGAGATCACTTTATTGTTGAGCCGGAGTGGGAGTTACCACATGTGGCAATATTCTACTGTTCTGATAGTGACGATATACAAGCACGACGCACTAGAACGATCGCCAGAAAGTTCATGAGTCGTCATACCATACCATCGATTGTTATCTCGCACAAACAATTACTTAACAAAGCTCAATGCATGTCTTTAGATCAGCATTCTATTCATATGTGTTTAGAATCCCGGGAAACAAATGGCAGAGGAAGCATTGTCCATCAACGTCTACCAATAGATCTTACGTCTTTCTTGAACATCGATGCTAGGCAGATGAACAGAAATCTTGCTTACTTGACTGGTCTTCACGAGCCTGCAAGTTCCCCTAGTGTTACCAAGAATCTTGGTTCCTATACGATTCCTGCGAACCGAGAGAAGCCAGTCAATAAAGAATGGACCCGTTACTTAGCGGAGTGGAGATCTTTACTCCCATTTGGTTTGCTTGTCCTGAGCGTGCTGACTGCCATTTTCACGTCCACCCTTTCGCCCTATCCATTTTACAACCAGCCGGCAATCTCTATAAATAGCAAAACTATGTCAGCGGGCCCCATAACTCCAACATCAGTACCATTTGCGACCAACCTCTCTGCAACTCAAGCCACAGTTACTTCAACACCTCCTGTTGTACAGTCGTTGCCCCCGAACGGACTTTCAAAACCTCAAGTAGACTTTTCAAAACTTACACATGCCCAACAACAGAAGTCCAAATCGGAGAGCAAGTGTAGTTCCTGTGTAGCGGAAATCATGGGGGACAGAGAAGTTTTGATTCGAATTCCCCGGGCAATGAAGCTTAGCTGGCTCACCAAGTTGGCAATGTCGATCAACATCACTAGGGGCAATACTACAGTCGATACAGAGCGTGCCTTTAGTTCAAGCGACGGGATAGTGTTATTGATTCCCAAGAAGGAGGCTCATGGTATTCTCAACATTTCGATCGTTACCACCAAGAAGCCGCGCATCAACGAGACCTTCCAAGTTGATTTTGGAACCAATTCTCTCCAAGCCATGCAAGATGTCTTGGACAGATTTTACACATTCTTCAAGGAGGATACTGTTATTGCCGATGGTCAAACTCTCGCAGATGTTCGCGCCGCGGCTGAGAAGGTTCTCAAAGATGTACGCCAATCTTCCCAGTCGAAACTAGCCAATATCGACGAAGCGAAACGTCAAGCGCTCGAGCGAGCATCATCAATCACTGCCCAACTTACTAATGCTGCGAGAGATATGACTCTTGAAGCCGCCAAGCGCAGTGCTCGCATTACAGTCGAACTCGGTTCACAATTTGCAGGCGTGGAGAAGACTATTGCGGATCAATTGCACTCTTTACAAAACATAGGAAACCCATTAGATGAGGGGATCCTAAAGGCACAAGTCAGATCTAAGTCTTTGTGGTTGAAGATGCAAGGAAAAAGTGGAGAGGCTGAGGAGTATGAACGTAGAGCTGCAGTGGCTATGAGTAAGAAAGCTGCAGTGACACAAAAGTTTGAAGCTAAACTTGCACAGAAGCCAGAGAAGACAAGGGTTCAGGCGTGGAAGGAAAAAATGGCCTTGAGAAAGGAAGAGAAAGCTGCAAAGAAAGAAGCTAGACAAGCTGCTAGGATAGCGAAGAAGGAAGCTAGAGATGCTGCTAAGAGAGCTGGGTGGACTGGGAATTGAGGCGTTTCTTTTGAGGAGTTAGGATACAACGGACATGGATTGGGATGGGGTATACCAGAATGGGTAGGGACATGGAATGGATAGGATGGGTCGGATCGGAATGAATTTTGTTTATTGCGTAATATGATATGACATGAAACGCATCGACGAATTCTAGGAACTTTCGGACTGCGAGGGGAAATGCAATACTGGGAAGAGCAATCAATACACGGCAATGCAATGGACTGGACTGGATTGGTTATGGTTGGATTGGATGGGGCCTGCGCTGCGTAATCGGGTCTAGATGAACTCAGGAGTGCTGGGTATCGGGGAGAATTTTTTCCAGCTCATTCTTCAGATAAATATGCATATGGTTTTTATTTATCTATCATTTACCACTCAGTTGATCTAATATTCTTGCACCTGATACTATGCAATACACATTCAATCGTATATTGCACACAACAATATCACAGCACAGAATTATATCATGTTCATCCAAGACTAGTGACAACCTTTGCAAAGGATTCGGTAAGCTGTCATGAACTAGATTGTTATTATCCTAGATTGATCACACAGCAATAGCTAAATATAATTCATAAGCCTCTCTGTGATATCTCAAACTTAACAGCCGTAAAGCCCAGCACAAACCTGCAATCCGAACATCTGTTTCTGAATCCAGCTCTTGTAATTTAGATTTTCTCCTATATTCCCAATCCCAGTCTCCACTATTTGTTCAGATAAATTTCAGAGATCCAGCTTCCCATTCCAATATATTACCCTGCACTCTCTCAACCTAAAACTCCCTCCCCTCCTACCTCCTCACCTTCTTCACCTTCTTCACCTTCATCCATTTCAATCATCGTAAACACACATTGTACAGTCCACTCTTCCCCATACATTTCCAATCCTTTCAATTCCGGAATGTCGATTGGTTCCTCCGGAATTTGATCCGGCAACTTCAACCCCAATAAGCCTCCTCCGATTATACTATTCTTGAGTGTATTCTGTATTCTTCTTTTGGCTTTCTGCAGAAGTTCTTCTGTTGGTCCAACACCCATAGTTTCCTTTTGAATTTTGAGTGCCATCTCAAGTATGTGAATAAGATATTTGGACTTTAGAGAAGACTCGTTTTTTGTTGAATTAAGCGAAGGATCTCGAGAAGTAATATTTCCTGGCAATTTGGAAGCGGCAACATCTTCTTTAAATACGATATAGGAAATCAATCTACCGATGTGATTTAATATTATCGCTAGAATGCCTTCGATCATTTGTTTATGCAGGTCATTCTCTTCTTGCCAGCTGATTTTTCGCAGAATGCCAATCATGAGGTTAGCAACAAAGCGGACCATCATGGGCTCATCGCTGTCTGCAGAAATCTCCACCCGGTCTGATATCGAATTGGCTGAACGAATTGGAAGTTTGGCTTTCGTAATACACAAACTGTGCATCTCGTTCAACGCTTTATCAAAGAAAGAGCACAAGGAATGTATAATATTTGCTTTCCTCACCAACTCCCTTCCGGCTATAGTTTTGTAATGTTCACTTGAAACCTCAACGCAGCTCTTATGGCATCCAGCGATCTCGCTCATAAGATGCGCTAGGCATTTAACATCTTTCGTATGGTAGTTTGTTTCTCTGACACCGATATATTTGGGAAGGCAGTCGGAGATTGCCTTCCAACTCAATTCTATGAGCTTGCGACACGAGGCAGGTGCAGATTCGGCGTGAAGAGATCGGCGAATCCGATTGATTCTGTATACTGCAGGAATCTGTGTAAGTACCATGACGACCTGATACACCGAAGCGAAAGGTGAAAGTATTGTGACTTACGATAAGTAGCAACCATCATATGATCATGATTATATGCCAACGCCAATGCATCAGTTCCCATTTCGTCGTCCTCATTTGGGACAGTATCTAGACTCTCATATCTTTTTCTTTTCTTCTTTCTGGCAGGTTTCAAAGATTGGTCATTATGAGACTCGGAGGAGCGTTGGGCGATACTCGGAATTTCCTCTTCTCCAGAATCCTCAGATGAAGATGTCATAGATGGAATGCGACAGCGTCGTAGTCTCTTCTGTAGGCTTGCTATGCGAGTCTGTAGTTCATCTGTAAGAATACACTGACTTTCGAACCGTCGTTTCCAAAACTCTCCCGAATCAACTATACGATTACTTCGTGATTCTTCAAGTTTGATTGATTCTCGGAACTCATCCAAATAATCTAAATCGATTTAGTATAGTCTATGGTAGAAAATTGCTAATCGTACCTTTTATGGATATTTCATCTGGTTTTGCTTTCAAGATTGATAACACCAGTGCGATTTGTTCCTCAGAAAAGCACTGAAGAAGTTGGTGCAACACAGGAGGCGCAGCAGACACTTCCGTTTGAACATTAGGTTCAATGGCAGAAATGAAATCCTGTACCTTTGGCGTCGATTTGCTGCCTTTTGGGTCGTCATCTTTTGGCTTCTCCTTATCATTCAACTTTGGAGTTTTTGCTTTCTTTGCGGCAGGCATGCTTGTAACAGTTGAAAATGACAAAAAGGAACTGATTCTTGAGAAGAATGAATATTAATTGGGACGCAAGTGTCTTCGAAGTGATGTGATGAGTAAGTGATGATTTCGCAATTTGAAGAGGGGAACGGTCGGCCTCACGCTGGATTAAATGTATTTCTAAGCATGTATTTGAAAAAAGGAAGAACATGAATAGGCAATAAGAAGTACCAACATATGACTACGGAAGTATCGTTGTGAAATGAGAATTGAAAAGTGCGCGAGATCAAAATGCTTTCACTGCCCTGGCCATTTTGGGAAAGAGTATTATGTTCTCAATTGGGCAGGAGCTTACCCGTGATCTTCTGGCTGACAATCTGGGAAGACAAATTCAAAGCTTAGTCCACAATAAGATATGTCGAGATTGGTAAAATGTTTCTTACTTTATTTTATTTATCTATTGTCTGTTCGACTGAGTGTTCAGTACCCTTAATGAAAAGACTCTGCGTACGTACATTAATGTTTGCACATTAGGACAAGAGTGTATCTCAACCCCACTTTTACAAAATAATTTGCCCAAAATCTACTACATGACCATGCACTAATGATGGCTTCATTAAACAGTTGAACGTGTGAGTTGATATTTTGGCATAACATGAAGATTGCTTTAACCTTACGTATTTGCTCGTGATTCAAATAACTTCTCATACCTACTATTCCTACTTAGGAATACCAGTGTGATGTCTTTTCCATGTCCATCAAACTGGTTTCCCGATCTTGAAGACTTGAGCGAAGTCTTCTAAAACATACAGCAAAGTTGAGATGAGAATGCATCGGCAAATCCCCGGCCCGCAGAGCCTCACATCCTCGCTTGACCCCGCATTCACGCTAAGGAACACCTGAACTGAACTTAACTTCTGATCAATTAAAGATTCGCTCATCAATTTCAAGCTCCTACAATTTTGTCACAACTTGCGCCAATCCACCAAGATTCATCACCCACCAACCAATCCACTTAACCAACCACATATACATACATTCGATTTCAGCGTCCATCACCCACAAAGAAAAAACAAAATGCCACATTTAGATACTGCCCAAGAATGGCTCACACAATCTTCGCTATTGTTAAAAGCACATCCTAGTACCGTACGTGTCCCCCCTCTTCCTCGCAATTCTCCCCCTCCCAATCAAATCAACCAAGCTAACCCTCCCTCTCTCCCACAGACCCGCATAACAACTAAATACACCCTTCTGCACGCACCTTCCTCCCCCCACGCCCCCTCCACCACACACTCCACAGCCACCAAACCGCGCCTACCCAAACCGACCTCCACCCCTCAACCCTCCACCTCTGCAAAACCAGATGCCCAACCCCGCGGTACCCTCACTCTCACAACTTTCAACCCCCGCTCCGGCGTAAACCTCAAATACACCACCAACAAAGCTGCAGAAGTATCGCGCCTCATACAAATCATGGGACGACTCGGAAAGCTCATGTGTGGATTACCCGAGACGGAGGAGAAAGAGAGGTTGGGGGAGATCAACATGGCTGAGGCACCGGCAGAGGAGGAAGTGGATGAGAAGAAGGATGCTGGAAAGGGACAAGCGCAAACACAGACGCAACCACAAGGTGGAAAGGGAAAGAAGAAGAAGGGGAAGAAATGAATTGTTGATTGAGAGACTACATCGCTAGGGGGATAAAGGAGAAGAGGAAGATAAAGAGGATTCAGGTGTAATTGGCGGATTCCGCAAAAGGTCTGCGTACAGTTATCACCACATCGTCAATGGAACCTCCCTTGCTCTTTCGCGAAATTTAGAGGGCCGAAATGGAAACCTGTATATAACATGGATTTAGTTGTGCTAGTGCGGACAGTAGGTATACTATGAAAGTTTGCATGGCGAGGATGGCAGTGGAGTTATGGTCATAGAAGATATACATGCGCGTCTTTTCGACATATCTCAAGATATTCCAAAAGCTATCCAGGAAAATCATACCAAAGTCAGTGAGAATAACGGTTCTATCACAGCAAGCGCGAATGAAATCCTCATGTGAGTGAAAAAAGTGTATTCGTTAACGCTAACTAGTTATATCATCAATTATCCTATCCATCCGTCCCATCATGGTATACTCCCACCACGATATCCCTATCAATCCCTCATCTATGTCCAAATGACATGTGTTGTAAAAGTTCATATTCATGCCCGCCGCCAAACCAAAATTTTCCCGACACCACAACTCCTTCATGTTAAAAAACTATTTGTACAAACCACCAACCCGCAACACATCTATGTATGCAAGCCCCGTGTAGAAGTGAAGAGTTGTACAAAGACAAAAGCCAAGCCAATCGCCTTGACACAGAAACAAAAAGAAAAATAGAGGTGACTTTGAAGACAACATCTAAAAGTCTTCGTCAAAGTTGAAGTCGCCTCCGTTCTCTGCCTTGGCCTCAGTTTGTGCCTCAGTATCCTCATGTTTCTTTTGAGTACCGGCCATAACACCAGCCTTTTGGTAATCACCAACTCTCTTCTCGAAGAAGTTGGTCTTTCCAGCCAAGGAGATGTTCTCCATGAAGTCAAATGGGTTGGCAGATTTGTAGTACTTGTCGTTACCCAAAGAGAGGAGAAGACGATCAGCAACGAACTCGATATATTGCTTCATGAGGTTGGAGTTCATTCCCAAGAGAGCACAAGGAAGAGCCTCGGTCAAGAACTCTTGTTCAATCTCGACAGCTTCGGTGATAACGTCTTGAACAGCTTGCTTGGATGGGCGGTGCTTCAGGTGAGAGAAAAGGAGGCATGCGAAATCGGTGTGAAGACCTTCATCACGGGAGATGAGTTCGTTGGAGAAGGTGAGACCAGCCATGAGACCACGCTTCTTGAGCCAGAAGATGGAAGCGAAGGAACCAGAGAAGAAGATACCTTCAACGGCAGCGAAAGCGACGAGACGTTGAGCGAAGGTGGAGTTCTTGTCTTGAATCCACTTGACAGCCCAGTCGGCTTTCTTCTTAATACAAGGAACTATCGATGATGTTAGATGTAGTGCTACATGTCTAGTGAGAATGGTTGCGACTTACTGGTCTCAATAGCATTGAAAAGATATGTCTTTTGAGATTGCTCCTTGATGTATGTGTCGATGAGAAGGGAGTATGTTTCGGAGTGGATGTTCTCCATCATGATTTGAAAACCATAAAAGCATCTAGCCTCTGGAATTTGAACTTCACCACTGAATCTCTCAACCAAGTTCTCATTGACAATTCCATCGGATGCTGCGAAGAATGCGAGTACGTGGGAAATGAAGTAACGCTCGTCGTCATTGAGTCTCTCATTCCAGTCGTGAAGATCCTTTGACAAATCAATCTCTTCTGCGGTCCAGAAAGATGCCTCTGCCTTCTTGTACATTTGCCAAATCTGTTCGCAACTATATGTTAGCACTGTACGCGTTGACACGTGAAGAGAGGGACGCGACTTACCTCATGGTACTTAATGGGGAAGAGGACGAAACGGTTTGGGTTTTCTTGGAGAAGAGGCTCATCCGCTTCTTCTGGCTTGATTCCTGGAGCAACTGCAATAACTTTTTGTTCTTCGACAATTGGCTTCTTGACTTCTTCGACAATTGGCGCGTCAGCTTCAAATGCTGAGTTCTCTTTTCCGCCAAAGTTGATCTTCTTGACGGGTGATTCCATCTTCATGTTTTCGATACCAGAGGCAGCCTGTATAAGTTCCAAGTCAGTATAATGTTGACGCGTAAAATAAATAAATTGAGGGGAAATAATTGATGGAGGGGTGGCGCGTGAAAACGTACACTCTTTGAGGGAGTTTCTTGGAGACTCATTGTGACTTAATAAATTGAGCGTAAAAAGGGATTTGATTATCGGTATGTAGAATATGTAAAGAAGAAAGAGGTCGAGAAGTTGTTTGACTTTATATGTTGTATTGAATAGAAAGTATGTATGTGTATGTGTGAATGTGTCCGAGGATGAACAAGAGAAACCGCGTTCTTAAGAGCTTTTCGGTACGCGTCACGTGTCCAAATAATTAACGCGCTAAGTTTCGCGTTCGCGTTGATAAAAAGGCTGGGAAATTTGCAACGCAATGTACATTGATCACCGAACCACTTATTCCACTTAATCAACCATTCAGCTTATTCAAGTGAATTCCACCCAATGCCAAGCAAACTTATCAGATCTTAATCCCTGAAGATCAATAGGAAACCACGGTAACGCGTGAAGTATTGGTGAAAGTCTTGATAATGGGTGGAGTAAAATCAGTCATGATGATTCAGAAATCAGTACATCTGGATTTGAATAGGCTTCAATGGAATACGATGTGGAGATTAAGATGTTTATCAGATTGAATGGAATTGCACTTTTATTAATTTGCATCTATGGTATGGTATCTTATATTACATTCAAAGCCCCCCGCGCCTAAACCAAATCCGTTTTCTTGTTACTTACAAACCGAGGCGTCATCAATTACTGAACAAACAAAGGGAATCATGTCGGCATTAAGAAATTGATCCATCCTAGAACCTTTCCAGGACCTTTCAAATATGGAACGTTCCTAGAACATCCTTCAAACTTAAAATAGCAATCACAATTCCTCTAACGTCTACCACTCTTCCTAACCTTCTGAGGGCGAGCTGGAAGTGGAGGATCTTGCGCGTCTGTTCTATCGCGCCGACTTTGATCGACATCGGGTTGTCTTGTTCGCTCTGATCTTTTGACACGACGTCCTTGTTCGGGATCAGGTTGTGTCGTTCGCTCTACGGGTGCGCTGCTGCCATATCCGAACCAACTGTGACGATTCCGTCCGCCTGGCTCACGAGGACTGACGGTCTCCGTGTTTGCTCTGGATGTATATCGTGGAGGTTCTCCATCTGAGAGTTCCTGATCATAAAGATCGAATTCATGCGGATCGGTAACGTCAACGGCAGGTAGTCTTTCACCTCTTGCCTTCAATATTTTCGCACCTTTGTCACGCAAATGTCTTTCAAGCTCGAGCGCATTTCTAGTATTGGCGCGGAAAACTGCATCGACAAGATCTCCTGCGAATGGTATGAGACCAACGGCAAAATCGAGCGCGATATTGAACATCATTTTAGATCTGACACTGTTTGGAAGTCCGCCATCAACTTGACTGCATGTTCGAAATACCATAAGCGCCATGAACAAATCAATAACGTCTCCAATACTATCTGATATCAGTAAAGCTTTTTATGGGGAGGGAAAGAACTTACGCAGGAACGAGACCAATGACACTGCTCCATCCAAATCTAATTCCACAGCAATTAAATAGACTCATGTCTAGTCTATAAGCTCGGCGCTTGACTTTGGTAAGAACCTTTGCATCTTTTTCTGATATGCCAGCAGGTATGGCTTTTCTTCTCTTTTGTGTCTTCTTTTTTGATGGCACACCGTCCAAGCGAGAAGCAGGAACAGTTTCAAAGTACAAGTCCTGAAAAGCTGTCAGCAAATTGTTTCTTCAAGAGATGGACGTTACGTGAACTGGTATTTTACCTCTGATCCAAACTTGTTCGAGACTGATTCGCCCAGAAATTTTTTACTGATGAACTTCGCTGCAAATGAAGCCATAATTGTGTTGTGAAGTTTGTGTGAATAATAAGTGCGATTATAATGTAGAATTAATTGCCTTTCGAAAAGGATATTCTTCTCTTTAATAGGTTATTCTAAAACTGAGAACCTTTAAACCTCTAATCGGTTGTATTAGGGGTTTTCTGTAAAATTCGTTTCTTCTTCGTTTCGTTGGTGGTTGTCGATTATGAGTGGTTTCAGAAAGCGCTTGATAGCAACTATTTTTGGATTGTCCCAGTTTGACACATGAATATGAATGTCTTTGGATTTCAATGAAAAGTAAATAGAAATAGAAAGCGTCTTTATGAGAAATACTGATATTTAAATTACTTATCCATAAACTCTTTTTCGAAAGCTTGCCATAAAGCTTGATTTGCATTTATCTTTCATGCTGGCAACTTTTTTGTCCAAGATTCGACTGCGCCCCCTGTATTGCTGTATCAAAATAACGTCATCCGACACTTAGAACTGCAGATCTGAGGGACCACCGGTGAAGAGTGAAAGAGGAAACCTTATTTTGCCGAGTCAAAGCTTTACATGTTTTCCAAGTTTGGTCTAGCTATCCTCAGGTGTCATAGCCAAAGTCACGTGTTCAAGTGGCTGAGCAGATGTGGCGTTGGGTACAAATGAAAATGTGGCTTTCCAGCTCCCTTTTTCGGTTTCAAGCTTGACCTCCACCTGGGCAAGCTCTTGACTCAGCCTCATTATTTATCCCCAACCGTATCAACAACCAACTCATCCACTCACAACTCCACATTTCACGACCTTCAATAACAGTGGTAAGCTCACGTTAGTTTGTGATCGTCGTATCTACTGGATCAAGATTCGCAAGCTTTCTTATCAGATAGATCATTCCATTTACTCTGTAATTGCCACAAAGTCTTCATATTTGTATCATTTTGATATTAGGTTGTTTTTGCCTAAGCGTTTCTGCGCGTCCCCCGCCCCGAAAAGAAACTCGAGTCGTGGATATGCTTGTGACGCGAAGACAACATGACAGACAGAAAATTGCAGCTAGAAGACTGTAAGTATTGAAGATAGCTTTATCAGGTAGACTCTTCTATCATTTCCTATCTTTCTCATTTCGAGAACTCTCTCGCCTTGTTCAAGTCCAGCCTCAACAATGTTGATATTCATTCCCAAATACTTTGACTGACCACCTACCAAATTTCCAGGGCTGGACGACCTTTGTGTTCGATTCATAATCAATATTCCTGCGGCTGATCTATCACACGTTCCTCGAATATGCTTTCAAGTCGAAGAAGCGCAATGGTACTACGAAGATTTTATCCGGCCTCTGGACCCAAGCCTACCCTCGATGACCCTTCGTAACTTTTGCCTCAAGATATTTCTACATTGCCCTCTACTTTCAAACTTCTCGGAAAGTATTCACATGCGAGCTTTTGAGGAGTTTCTTCTATACAAGACCCGAGTTCCAGTGAGGGGTGTGATTCTGTTAAGCGCGGACATGGATGAAGTCGTTCTTGTAAAGGGTTGGAAGAAGGGTGCAAATTGGAGCTTTCCCCGTGGAAAGATTAATAAAGATGAGGACGACCTTACGTGTGCTATTCGAGAAGCATACGAAGAGACCGGTTATGACCTTGAACAGTCAGGACTTGTTCCCAAAGATCGAAGTCTAGTTAAAGGTATCGATGTTACAGGACATGGCCAACAGATCAGATTATACGTTTTCAGAAACGTTCCTAGGGAAACCTATTTTGAGGCACAAACTCGCAAAGAAATTAGTAAAATTGATTGGTGGCGGTTATCTGATCTTCCAGCTTATCGAAAGAAAGGGCAGCAACAAAATCAACCAGAGGCTGCCGCAAACGCCAACAAATTCTACATGGTGGCACCATTCCTACCTCCACTCAAGAAGTGGATTTTAGATCAAAAGAAAAAAGATGCTAGGACGGCAGCTAATAACCAGCACTTGGAAGCTGCAGGAAATATCAGCCACGATGAAGGTATTACTGAGGATGATCAACTGGTTGAACCAAGCATAAATTATGATGCACCTGTGTCGCATGATGCTGAACGGACTAGACGCAATGCTGCCGACCTAGCTCTTTCTGCTATAATGCAAGTCCAACCATCGACCCAGGGACTACAACACAATGCCATTAACCCTGCGCAATCACAAGCTTCGCATAGCTCAGGGCAGCAACTGCTTGCTCTTTTACATAGTAAACCTCCTGCGGATCAACCACCGCCAACTCAACCATATCCGCAAACACCTTTAGAAAATACCATTACCCAAATACCTTTTCCTAAAACTCCTCATCATCAGGTACCTCACCCTTCGCACATCTCAAATCAACCACCTCCACCTCCTTTCCCACTACAACAACAGCAAGAGCAACGTCCAATGCAGAATTATTCCTACCAGCAACCCGATCTCCAAGTTCGTTCCGATCAAAGGCCTATCCCCAATATGCAATATCGCCATCAGATGCCGCAGCAGATACCACAGCAAATCCCGCAAAGAATGCCAGCTCAAATGCCACAGCAATTCTCAGCGCAGATCTCCCAGCAATTGCCACAGCACATGCTACAGCAAGCTTCGCAACATATGACTCAGCATATACCGCAGCATATGCAAACACAACTTCCACAGCAGCGAGAACGTCATCCATATCAACCCACTTTGATTCATCCTCAGCCACTCCCTCTCAATGCCCAGAAAGTGTTGTTTACCGGAGGTCCGGTGCATTCAACCATGGTGCCGCAGCATATTCAGCAACAACCTCCGCATCCCAACTTTACGACTTCTGGCCCTCTGCCTCCTCCCCAATTTCCTAATGTACATTCTACCATGGTTCCGCCGCTACCAAAGGAAGCACCGGCTGCTGCACTCACTAGTCATTCATTGCTACTCTTAAACGCGTTCAAGAATCGGGACGAAGTAAATGTAAATATCACTTCTAACTCTTTAATTTCTGAAGGTCCAACTCAGCCGCACCCGAATTCTACGCGGCCTGAAGCTCTTGAGCTTCCAGGAGAAAGTTCTCGATCTATTCCCGTTCCTCTTCCTACTGAGGCAGCTCAATCATCAAAGTCTCATCCTAGTATGAAAGGAGATATTCCTAGTACGGCTGGTCAGAGTCAAACAGCTCGTCCCCCCATCAGTGAGAACCAACGATCAATGTTATTGGGTATGTTCAAAAGTCCTGCAGCTCAACCGGCAACGCTGGCTGCAGAACCAGCTGCTGTAGTTCTACCATCCAATTCACCTTCAGCGGTGGAATTGAGCGCAGTAGAACTCATTTCGCCACCCGAAGTTTCACGACAAACAGCTTCCAAAGAAAATACTCCAATTGGCAGAGCTAGTCACAAGATTACAGGAATGAACCCCGAATTGAACCTTCCATTTCGAGCTACGTCAATCCTCGCTCGTCCAGCCAATGGGAATAAAGATGCTAAGTCATATGGGAGTTTGTCCAAGAAACCGGCCACTAGATCAGAGATGCCCAACAGCAGCAAGAGGCCTTCATCAGAGAAATCGTTTCAGCCACAAATTCTCAAAAGACCACAGGCGAATACAGTCAAAGCCTCCCCACTTCTTGGAGCTTCCACCATTGCTGCTTATTCGCCGAACCCTGCACCATCTAATCTGGCCGGCCCATCGTCATCTCCACTATCCTTTACTTCCCAAGCTCCCCAGTCAACCGAACAAAAGCATACCCTTTTGTCATTGTTCGGAAAATCGCCTACCCCCGCTCCCAGTTCGATATTCGGGAAATCACCAATGCCAGCTTCTAGTTCAATGTCTAGAACATCTTCGCATGATGGACCTTCTTCTAACCATCTCATAGATGCCACGAGAAGTGCTGCATCCAGATCTAGAGTCGGAAGTCTGGCATCAGGAAATGGCGAGGGCTCGTCACGCCGTGGAAGCCAAGCACCAATATCACCAGCCGACAAAGGCTTCTTACTGAATTACTTAGACGCAGTTGCTAGTAGGGGTTATTGAAGGAGGTCGTTTAAGGTTGTATCATCTTTTCTTTTGTTTTGCATGGTTTTGGCATTTCAATGGGAGTTTGGATTTGGTAGCATTCGGAACATTCGTTCGGTGATATCCAAATACCCAGATTTGCCAAAGCTATGTGGTTGCTTGCTTTGTTAGTAAAATCATAAACAGTTTCTACATGCTACCTGAACATGTGAACATGAAGTGATTGGAAGAGTTCACTGTAATGCTTGGCTGTAATAAAGTGACATTGATTACGCAGGTAATTGCCCATCACCATACTCATAACCAGACATGATGTTGTAAATTTCAGCCAATCACCGCCAGCCTATAGATAACTCGTTATTACGTCATCAACATCAACGAGAATTGAAGCTTCATTACATTATTTCCAATCCACATAAAATTATTGCCAAATTCCAAGCTATACCTCAAAAATTTGGAAAGATAATCCGAGAGAAACTCAATATGAAACCGATATCAAAACTTATGTCTAAAAGACCAATTACTGTTCCTGCAACAGCATATATATGTACATTCTGCTCCTCCCATGCAATACCGAGGACTCGCAAATACTCTTCTACTCCTACCTCATCTGCAAGCTCCCTCTCCGCCTCAACTAAAATCTCAATACAACCACAATCCCAAGTCCAATCTGGGTTCCATACATTAGCCAAGAAAGGCATTACCCGCCTCTCGACCCGTAGACTTATTTCATTGAGAGGACCCGATTCGATGAAATATTTGCAGGGAGTCATCACGAATGATATCTACAAAGAGGGGTTAAATTCGGATAAGAAGGGGTTCTATTCTGCATTTCTGAATGCGAAGGGAAGGGTATTAAATGATGTTTGGATCTATAAGGATCTGTATGCGGATAGAGGAAAATATGGGGAGAAGGGAAAGGAGGGAGAAAATTGGTTGATTGAAGTTGATGCAAAGGAAGTGGAGGTGTTGGCGAAACACATCAAGAGATATAGGATGCGTGCGAAATTCGAGGTTGACGTTGTGAGAGAGGAAGAAATGGGGATTTATAGTTGTTGGGGAGTCGAGGAGGGGGTTGGAATGAGAGAGGGGACTGGTATTATGGTTGCGGATCATCGGGCACCCGAGATGGGAAAGAGAATTGTGGCGGATAAGGGATGGGATTTGCAACGGGACTTGGAGGGTGTAGATGAGGAACTGAAGATGCAAGAGGAGGAAATATATAGAGTTCGGAGATATCTGATTGGAGTACCTGAGGGTCAGGATGAGATACTGAGGGAGAGTGCGCTACCGCAAGAAAGTAATATGGATGTTATGGGAGGTATTGATTATGGGAAGGGATGTTATGTCGGTCAGGAATTGACTATTAGGACGCATCATACAGGGGTGATTAGAAAGAGGATTATACCTATGATGTTGGTTCCCGATGGGGAAACCTTGCCTGGATTAGGAGAACTGGAGTATAAAGGAGGCAATTTGGCGAGTTATTTGAGAGGGAGTGAGAATATCAAGAAGGTGGGTGGGAAGAGACCGGTGGGAAAATGGTTGAGTGGAGTGGGAAACGTAGGTTTGGGATTGGCAAGGTTGGATGAGATGGGTAAGTGGATGATGGAAGGACATGGGAAGGAGGGGGATGCCGTGGAGGAATTTGTGGTAGAGGCGAAGGATGAAGAAGAGGGAGATGCAAGGAACATTAGGGTCAGAGCTTTTCCTCCTGCTTGGATTGAGACGTAGATGTACTATAGGCATTACTTTATTATCATTATTATATAATTATCCTTAACGCCATGCTAAATTCAAAAAGAAAATTCTCCGCCCTGCGATGTCTGAACGCCGCTAGATATCTGAACTCCGTAGAATGTTTGAAGTCGATTAAGTGTCCAGAGTGGACTGCATATCTGATTTGGGTTCCTCCACTCCCCTCTTCCCCGCTTCTCTTAGCATCTCCATGGTAGACGCGAAATCGTTTCCCACCTTTTTTGACCCAACGGACGAAAAGGAATATTTAGGTGGAGCTGTGGATGGAGTAGATGTTGACTTAGCGTCTCTGAATTTCGGTTGTGGAGTCGAATACTCAAAATTGCCGGATTTCTTATCATTGAATGTCTTATTTGGTGTCGAACATTTAACTTTTTTCTCGGCTTTACGCTTTGCTTTCGCGGCGGCGATTTGTTTTTCAAGGCGTGCTATTTTATCATCGTCTGATTCTTTGGGTATGCTCTCCTTCTGCGGAGGCGTACTTTCCCTCTGCACAGGCATACTTTGCCTCTTCGCTCTCCTCTTCCTGCCCTCCTCAGCCAACCTTTTGATTTCCGCATCCATTTCCTCATCCTCTCTACTCCTCTTTCCCAGGCTTCCCCCTCGTTCCCTCGCCTCCAAGTCCTCTTTCATACTCCTTCTCTTGCCTTCAAATAACGCAGCAGCCCTTTGTTTCTGCACGCGCGCATTGCGATAGTTGTCATACTTTTGTTTCAATTCTGGTTCTGCGAGTACATCATGCGCGGCTTGGAATTGCTCATATTTATCTGGGTCAAAGGCGTCTCCTAATTTGTCCGGATGGTAGAGTAAGGCTGTCTTACGATATGCGCGACGGAGTTCCGAGACGCTGAAAGATTCGGGAGTGATGCCTAGGAGCGTGTAAAAGTCGACTTCGGAGGTTATCCATTTCGTCAAGTCGTCGGAGGGCATCGCGATTTATCGTTGAAGGGGAAAATTGCGATTGGATTTGCTATGGCGCTGTGACTTAATTTTTGGGAGTTGGAAAGGGAAAATCGGAGGGGTAAAGGTGGAATCTGTAATTGTAGAAATTGTGGTTGTAATTTTTGTCGATTTGATGACGGACTTTTTGGTGATTTGGTAAGGCTAGAGCGAGGCTATGAGGATAATTCACCCGATACTTAGCCGCTTAGTCTTGTCAATCTCTTTTGGGAAGAGTCACTCACCGGTTGAACATGCATAAATATACTACTACACTGCAATACATATCTTTTGACAAGGAAACTCAGACCGTTGAATCACCTCATTGTATCATACGCCTCTTACTTTTATGGCTTCATGAAACCAGTGCACGTGACGCTCTTTAGAAATTGCCTTCGTCTGTAAGCACCTTTTCACAGAGGATCTTACCACCATGGCTATGTTTAATGGTAAGAATATCGCCGAAAGTATGGACGCTTTGAGATTGTTAGATCCCGAGCCCAACTCGGAGAGATCAGTGAAAGATCTACTTCAAAAATCTCAAAATCTGATGACGGAACTCGAACAATTCAAGGCTCTTTTGAAAGAGCGAAAGCAAGACAAGATAGTTGAACTAAGACACTTCTCGACAAATCTACAATCTGAGATCAAATCTTTAACAAGACTTGCGAATTTAGATCCAGAAGATGAAAAGGTGGCCCATACAGTTAGCTCTTCCAATTTTCCATTCTATTCCGCTGTTTGGAATACAGCAAAGGGTTGCAAGGGTATCACAGCGCTGAGAAAACGTTTCTTTTGGACTATTGGTCAAACTCTGCTCAAATCTAAACGAGGTGATCTCTCAGCGCAGAGCAATATCAAAAGTGTGGAAGTCGATGTTGTAGCTGGAGAGAATCTTGAATGGGTTAAAGTCAATACAATTACTGCTCGAAGGATGATATTTGATCTAGCCAAGGCCGGATGGACCGAAGACGATTCAACTGATGAAGAGGGTGAGGACTTCGCTCAATTAGACTCAGACGATGAGTCAGAAGGTCTTTTAAAGCAAGCCAAGTTACTCGTAGAAGCTTCTAAACTGGCTAGAACTAAATACCGGTACCCATCAGTACGTATGGTACTTCCTAGAATTACACGAGACTGTCCCAAGCAGGTGGTTAGTGTTTTACAAGAAATCCGGGCATTAGGAGTTACAGTGCAGATATTTGAAGATATTCCTACAAGCCTTGAGATATCGACAGTTCTCCAGCGTATGGTAGTAGACCCATTTGAGAAATTCTCCGAGACACTCAACGTTGATTGTACGATGATATTCGCATTTGTTAGTGAGTAAGTAAAAAATATTGTGTTACGTGATGGGTACACTCATTTCTCCGAACAACGGTCAGCTATTTCCCTGTTTGCTAATTACGCTAAATTCAGTCTTTCACATGGTCAAGTTGAATCAAGAGACTGGCATCATCGGTTTTTGATTAAACAAATGCAAATGGAAAGCGAAGATCAGCTCTTACCTAGCATTGTCTGGCCTGCATGCGGTGCTAGAAAGCTCATATGTACTCGTGAGGCAGTCGCAAGAGCCCAAGAGATCATAGATACAATCGGAACAGATACCGAAAAGAAGAGAATGGAACTAATTTTCGGGTTCAATCATGAGTCGACAAGAGACAAGCTGGCGGAAGAATTTCAAAAGCTCTCCGAGTATAGCATTCCTCTGGAATGGCAATTACCAATTTCCATAGTTGATGTGGATGTATCCATTATCAAGTCCGAGCTTCCTGATGTCGTTCATGACGTCTCAAAAGTTCTGACTGGTGTTAATCAGTCCGTGTTTCTGTACGGATGGGCATCGGGATTGACAACAATTAGCAGCAATCGTGTTGTTGCTAAAGAAATTGAGGCCGCGATTGAAGCAAATAGAGGCTCTGTGGACGTTCAGGGGACAGACATCTGGTTGTCTCCAATGGCACGATCTCTTGTAGGAAAAGAAAAACAGCGACGGGGAGTTAAAGAATGATTCAATGATAGATCCGAGTATGTAACTCGTACTTATGAATTGAAACTTGGTTCCTGAATCTTGCCTTTTTGAGTTTTGCGGTAGACGCGAATAAGTTTGCAGTGATTGCATAGTGTTCGGCTTTTCTTCTACAGTTTCTATTGCATAGACCTCTCATTATCTACAGCCTCGGCTTTTGCTTTTGCTTTGGTAAATATCAGAATATCTGTGGTCAGCATAATGTCATCTGTGGTAGATTTTATCAAGACATTATATATTGGAATTTGGGGATAGCTTTAGTAGGCCCATCACCCTTCCTCAGTGATTTTTTAAGGCCAATTATGACTTTCTGTGATTCATCTGTTTGTTGCACTTACTTTCTTCAGCTGTCATAGACCATAACGCAATTCAGTCTTTCTGTTTTATAGTAGCTATTTCTCTGGTGCAGTTGGAATTATTCGTTCAAAAGATTTTCCGTTTTGGATTTTCAATGACCTCCGGGAAACCACGTAAAGGACATCATCCGTACATACCAAGACGATAAATACAATTACTTTTGAAGATCTGGCTAATTGTTCTAATATTTTTACCACAAGAGTTATTCCCTATCAGCGCTAACGGTCTCGCGGGTATTGGCGCTAAATTGTGTTTTCCTTGTTCTATTATGCTGTTAAGATGTATATAAATCAAACGTGGCCACTAGACCGTTTTAGACGACGGGTATTACTCGCTTAACGAGCTCACATATAGGCCTGGTTTGTTATGCTTCATGGGGTTTGAATCTTGAGATATTTTTCTCTCAGACCGGTGCGCGGAACAGTAGTTGCCGTGTTCTTGCTTTGTTTTCCCTAAATACTTTTGTTACAATACATATTGAAGAATCAAAAAGCTTCAAAATCACCTGAGGTGTCCAGATCTAGACTAGCAGGGCAGATGTGATTTGTGAAGAACGAATTAATAGTAAAATGCATTCTCGTGGATCAAATCTTTGATCAATGTTATTCAAGTGCTGATGCAAATCTTCGTTTGGAGAGAATAACTTGAAAATCTCCATCCAGAAGTTGGAGATGGTTTCAGGAGCATCACCCTACAACGTTATCTCTGGAAGTCATAGGATGCCCATGGATCTGGTCCAGATCATATGACTACTGCAATCGCGGGTCACTGTAACTAGCTCCCATTTAACAGCTTTGATTGCACATCTAAACTCTTGGCACCCGTGAGTAGCTTTCGTTCGTCACTTTATTACTCTTATCATGAATCTGAGGATATTGTCACTTCTTGTCCAATTTATGTTCTTGCTTTAATTCTATACTCGATGATTCGGAACAGTCATAGACATTGGGGCTTTATTTTTCTTGCATGTTTGAATGGTCTCGGCACTAAACACTAGGTAGCTTTCATTGTCATCCTGTTGTTTCATGTCTCGAAAGTCCAATATTATAAGCAACGACAGTAGACGTGCAACACGGAGCTTCAATTTACTTGCTGGTAAAAGTAGTATATTATGTGCATTAGTCTTTGGCAAATGATGCTTGTTAGTTCCACGATTGAATACCGGTTGGCCCTAGGTCGAAATTAGCGAAATTAAATAATAGGAAAACTTCAGTATCTAATGACTTTAACGATTAAATCTTCTCCTAACAAGCAAGCTTTACTTGATCTCCATAATAAGATATTAATACATAGCATTTTCACTTCATTCCTAATTATTTAGAGTATTGGCATTCTGTTTTATCACATTCACTTGGTCACATTCATTTGCATCTATACTATTTTGAGAAGTTTATTGATGTCAATTACTAGATAGTCTCTAGAAATATTATATCATCCACTCAGAATGATGAGCAGTGATAAGTTTCAACGGAAATCATATCCCCAGTAGTCAATTTCTAATGAGCTACCCTTGTTTCGAACAAATACATAACAATATTCCTAACAGTCCCAGTGACTATCTCCGCACACTTCTATGCAGCCAGCCATCTTTCCCCAACCCTCAACTCCCATCCCGCAAGATACTCCGTGTGGTAACGAACCACTATCTCCTGCCAGCATTTCTTCTCTTTGCTGACCTGCTGGCCTCATCTTGATCAATGTCCTGAGCTTCTGCCCGAGCCCGAGCACGACCACGCTTCTTCAGGGGGGGGTCGACTTCCATCTCGCTGGTATCTTTCTGCGTAGCTACTTTCTTAGCTTCCGCCTTCTTAGCAACCGCAACCGCAAACAGTTCTTTCAACCCGATGGCATATCCCAATTCGTGTTGATTATGATGCGTATAGGTAAGCTCAAGAGGCTTTGGTGGCACCGAGCTGGCCACCAATTCATAGATATCACAAACTCCCTGGACGAGGGCAACCAGAGCCGTAGACCAAACGTCGTCGTGATTTTCGCGCATGTATTGCTGGGCGACGTTTAGGCAATTTTGCAATAATGGCCAAAGAGTGTACGTTCTGGCATCCCTATCGTTCCAGTCGTATGCAGATTCTTGTTGGACTGAAAGCAGCACCAAAGGGAAAGCCAAAGTCTGAAGACCAGGTGATGTTGTCTTCAATACTTGTCGTTTTTCGAAGAACAACTTCCTCGTTTCGGCGTTCTCGGCCAACATGTGCAAGAACTCCAATACTTGAATGAGTAGTGGAGTTAATTCCATGGTCCGGACAGTCATGTCTCTCATGAAATCCGCAACTAAATCGAGAAGCATGCTCTTGCGCAGAAGCTGGTCGAACCCAAAAGTAAGCGCTTCGTTTCTGGCGACAGTAATGTTTAGTGTCGTCAAGCATTTCAAAAGAGGAGAAAGAATTTCTCTGGTTGCGTGAGTTAATGGGAGATGGGGTGACTCGTTCCGGAAGTTGATTGCAGCATCTTCGACAGCGCACAAGGCCTCCCAGGCTGTCCTGGTATCCGAAAAGGTGCACTCCTTTAGATGTGGAGCTACACCACAAGCCAAGCAAGTTCCGAAAGAGCACTTGGCACATGCGCCAATGTGCAAATGGCTTTTGGTATTGGCCGAATAAGGAGCAAGGAGATCTGGTTGGGAGGGATTGGGTAACCAAACTTGCGATACTTTGTACGTGTTTGGAATTCTGCACTTGATGCAGTTGACTTTCATTCCTTGCTGCATTGCAAGCCGAATATTTGACTTGGCAGGGGTTTGTTGGGAAGTGCTGGGATCGGCCTGCGTGCTCTCATCCATGACATTGAAAGCTTCATCCTCCCAGGCTTCTTCAAAATCTTCGTCAAATTCGTTGGCATCATGAGAGCTGATGCCCGAATTATTGGCAGCCAGAGGAGCTGGTTGCCCTCCACCCAGTTGCAAATCCCCAAGATCATTCAAAACCGACTGTGCATGTTCATCCCTATCCAAATGCAGATTTCTGAGATTGTTGGAAAGGGAATCGGCTGAGTTCATATTGGAAGTGAACTGTGTGGTAGCGAAATCGACGGGTAATAGACCTGACATTTTGTATGATGATTTGTAGATGTTTCTTGGAAGGGTTCGTAGGTAGTTTGATTGCTTGAATTTGAATTGTTTTGATGGAATTCAAAGTCGATGCTGTTGGAAAGCTGGGAGAACTCGAGGTGTTTATGAGATTTGGACTTCTCGAGAGTGTTTGAAAAGGAGAAAAAGAAAGAGAAATTTTGAGGGGGAATAAAAAACCCTTATAAGCAAATGAGAATCGGTATCTGAGACACCAAAACAGTCGCTGTCGTAGCGAATGTTCGCGGTTCTCAAGATTAGATGATCAGTTCTAGGCATATACGGTTTACGGTCATGGTTTCTCATATCTATATACCATTTTTCACATCCTAGCGTGACTTCTGGTAGGTCTTGCTTGTAGTGTACGACAGTAATGTCTCATTTTTCTTGTCACGGTGATCTACCGCGCATTAGAATGATCCAGCGCGTCAATTACGGTACCGATACCTAATACTTTTTAATGTGATGAGTCAGCGCACGCGAGATATCGTGAGTTCTCAGCGCAAAGTAGCTGTCTTACTTACTGGTATTTTTGTCAAACTGCTAGGCAGCAGGCTTGATGAGAGCTGAATTCTGCAATACGGTAGTTTTATCGCTTAATAGTCTCTCAATTCAGGCTAAACGAGACTTAAATACAGCGCTAAGCGAGAGACTAGGCTGTTTTGATTACAAATATTGTACCAGATACACTAGCGTTTAATATCGCGAGTGCTCAGAGCAAGGCGACCATCTTGCTTACTGATGTTGATTGTTATACTACTAGGCAACGCTTAAATTAGAATCAATTTTGCAGTACTGTGGGTTTCTCGCTTACATATCTCTGTGTTCTGGTTACTCGCGACTTAGGTAGGTAGAGCTACAGGCGAGATACTAGGCCGTTTTGATGACAAATATCTTATATCAGATTGACTAGCGTCGAGTTTATACAGTCAAGTCGAGAGTATGGATTGTTTTGCTTATGAATATAGTGTTCAATAAACTCGCGTGAACTAGATGCGGTCAATTTGCTGAAATGTGATGGCAGCCGGTAATACACTGTCAATTCTGCTCGGACAACTCTGACATGAGATTCATTATTTTTGAAAAGAAGACTGAAGAGCGCAATCTCACAAATGGTTCATTATTGAGTAGTTAATTATGGATCTGGAGAGAATTTTGTATTAGGTATCTTGAAAACTGAGATTAAGAAACGATCCTTGATTCCGAGTGAGCGAAGCAGAATTTGTCTATGCTTCTCAACATCTGATCAATTTTCGTATAAAAGCTCCTCAGCGAAGAAATGATTTAAGACGCAGAGTACTTGACTTAAAATCCAGTCTAGTAATCACTCAAAAATTCAAAATTAGAGGTGACATGTACTCCGAACCATCATTCTTGAGATAACCTGCGAAAAGTCTGTCCATTTCTAGACACGGAACACATCACATAATGTCCTAGCTAATTCTGAGATTGTAGTTTTTAGTCAATGTGCATTGCTTATTTATTTAATTTTATAGGACTAGTTGATATGTCTCTTCACTCTCGATCAATTCGAAGTGCTCTGAGTATTGAAATTGATCAGACGATTCTATCCGAAATATCTTCTAACAACGTAGAAGCATGTAGTCTGAGAAGATCGATTAGTATATATGTAGCGTTATGCTTCTCGTAAGATATCAGAATGTTTGAAATCAAAAGGAAATATTGAGAGTCGTCTTTTCTGAAAGTAGACATGAATTTCTCATAAAACTATGATCCGATAGAATTAAGCGAAGTAGGCACTGTCGGCTAAATCATTCGACACACTTGAGTAAACAAAGGGGAATCGTCTATACCAGCGATTTCCACTTCTTCATTTTCCGAGTTTGTAATGAATTCTATAATCTCCCAATTTGAGAGTATTCTATATCAAATATACCTAATTAGAGAGTTACGAAATTATTCTAGGAGATATCATCTCATGGGATCAGTTCAGAAAATCATCTCATCAACACCCTACGAGCATAGTGCGTTATTTACTATCAACATCGAATGTCAAAAAGAATGCTTATCAGCGAATATGAGATAGTGACACAATATAGCGTGAATTCTCACTAATGAAACTCGATCTTATACACAAAATGTTGAGAAGATTGAGAGTATGTTTTAGACATAGAGTCCTTTACTCCAGCTTCACTTAAGCATTTATTAGATATGATTTAAATGAATCGGCTGAAAGTAATCATATTATTAGTAAACGGATAGTTCCTGAACGACATGATTAGATGTCACTAAGTCTAGCATCAAAATTCAATTTTTTCTTTGTGAAGTTATTAAAGATTACTAGAAATATCTAAGTAAAACAGATACTATACATGCTTAATCCTAATAACTCGTAATTACTTTTGAGCTCTAGTTTCATATTTCTCATATGACATTTAATCATAACTTGAAACTAATAGAGAGAATGTACATCAATACCACCGTTCATGCGAGGTCTATATAATTCTACAGTACAAGCATTTCATATAATTTGGAGGGAATAATTAATGAATTTTAATAAAGTCAACGCAACTACGTCATTGATGGTAACATTACATGACTGTATGAGTAGTAAAAGATGCACTCATGTTCCTAAGCTTCACTTGATACGGCAGTATGTCTAATTTACCCTCGACTATAAAGAAAAATCAGTTCGAAATGGCAATAGTGAAGAAGAAGGAGATTTAGAAGAAGGAAAGGAGAGAATTAGGAGTCATCATAGGCTCTACAAAAACTTTCTCACATTTGCTTCACCCAAGATAACTATGAAGAGAAAATTTGAATGATTTGATACACTATCTGCTTGAATGTTCTACAGCTCATACAATATCTACATACTATTGAAACAATCCGTGTAATATAACTCGGATTCAAGAAGACTTTAATCCCTCTTCCTGTGCTGTGTAGAAGCAGCCGCGAGGTCCTCAATCTCCTCATCGTCAGAGATCACGATGGCATCCTCTGGATCCTCAGCCTTGATCTTCTGTGCTGGCGGCTCATTACTTTCCGAACCAGATCTCCGACGCTTACCACCCTTCTTGGAGCTCTCTGCCAGACTTGAAGCACCCGCCTCTTGTAAAAATTTGAGATGGTTCGGATCTCTTGTCAGGATGACGGCTTCAACACCTTCGAAACAGTCGTTCTTGTGGTGAGCCTTGAAGTGGGCTTGCAACTCAAACCGACCTGGAGCTCTTTTGTCACAGAGCGAACACAAGTATGGCTTCTCTCCAAACATCGCATGAGTGGCAGCCTTCGAGAGTTTCTTCCCAGGCGTAACCGGTGGTGGCTTGATGAGAGAAGAACCCAACACACCCACGTATTTAACGTCTGTATGTGTCGACCGCAGCTGGAAAAAGTCTTGAGAAAGTGATGCTTTTGCAATCTCTCTAAGTCTGGCGAATGCTTTCGCTTGATCCGAGTCTCGAGACTGTGCGGAGTTTCCGTCCAGAACAGTTTGAATCCTTGCTACTCGTGGCAGTACAATATTCCCGTCTTCGTCTTTCCACGCTTCTCGCTCTGCAATCGATTTGGCGGATGGTAACACAGCTAAGGACCCACTGCTGTGGCGGTTCGCAAGATGCCAAGAGTCTTGCATTGCGATCTTCTCGTGCTGATGTCTTACTGTTCCCCATGCCGCAAGCGCGAAAGCTTCTCCATGAGGAAAGGTAATAGCCATTGGACTATCTTTTTGATAATGATCGGGCATTTGATACCTCTTCAAAGACGGCGCAATATTCATCAAGTTTTTCTGCGGGTAGGCGACGAAGACGAGTCTGGAATAGTTGTATAACCCTGGATCCATCCACGCCAGTCCCGGAATTGGTGCAACGTATGGTTTCCTGGGCGAGTCTCCCATCATTCTTGGTGGAATGCCGAGATGAGGATGTCTTGCTCTGAAGACTAGAGCATCACATGGTGCGAATGCCCAGTAGTCGCGAAGTGACATTATGGTAAATGTCCCAGGCAAACATCCTTCAGCAAGATTGGACAAGTTTAGGAGTACCGACATCCGTGCTGGGTCATCCTTCGCGTCTATGTGTAACGATCCAGACTTCCCCATCTCAATTGACAAAGAGACCGTGTCCACATTGGAGTAGTTGACTTGTATGGTTGCTGATGCAGGTGTTAGCAAGTGATTCAAAACAAGCACTTAGTGGATCAGGACTTACAGAAATTTCTATTCTCCTCATCGCCAACCGTGTATGCTACGTCGATCTCGGATTGTAGCTCAAGTACTCTGAGTTCCTCTGCCGGAGTGGCGTATCGAATGATTGGCTGTGAAACCTTGGCGATCAATTGAACAGCTTCTGCAAGTTCATCACAATGCTCAATGTGGCCCTTCGCTGTTGTTGAAACACCGCCACTATCTCCGTTTGGTGGAATCGATCATCCCATGGTGTAAACCCGACTCTTTCCATCCTTTTCAGATCTAAGAATCTGTTCGAGTCTACACTTCTCAGAGTGTTTGCCTTCTCCGCGACGGAGGAACATCTTTCGTAGCTTCAAGATTCCTTCCATAACGAAGCCAGGGAGTTTCTCTTGGATCATCTTCGAGTCAACCTGCTGAGCTGTAAAGGATGCATTCTCATTCTCGTTGATGAAGACTTTTTGATTGGGTGGAATTCGATTCATCTGAATTGATCGATCTTCCTCTGCTGTTGAATACCCAATGGCATCATTTATCAACTCTGGCACTTCTGCATTTCTCATTCTTGCCAGCCATAGTTTTTCTGTGAAGTTTGGCATGTGGTAAGCATGGCCATCTTCTCTTTGGATTGGAAGGGAATAATTAAATTCAACCGGTGAAGACATTAATATGATCTTTTTATAAGTTTGTAAAATTTTGAAGAGGTAAATAAATTAGAAAACTTGATAGTTGTAGATGTTCTTGTGTGAAAGAGTAGGAATCGAGAACTTTATAGATCGAGAAGAGCCTTCCTTCAACCATATTGCCCAATACCGGCTCATTTTGTTTACTGAACCGAGTATATATTCACTTCCTGCAACTTTGATCATTTGATCATTTGTTCCGAGGTGGCCATCTATTCACCAATTACAGCTGGACAGCTTGTAAAGTTGGCTCCCATACAGCTCGGCTATATTCGGATAGTTCACTTCTGAAATGATGAAATGTTACTGATTACTTCGGTTATTTATTTGTAAAAAGTGAATTGTATTATTGATTCAAGAAATCTGACAAGAAAGTGATTTTGGTATGCCAGGAAATCCCACGAAAGGAAGCTGCTGTATTGTGATTTAATATAGGTATCTATGTTGGTCTGGTCTTACTTTGTTTGATGTTTCGATCTGATAGGTTTTTGACCTGAGATGTCCATATTCTCACATGATTTGAGAAAGAAGTATAAATAGCTATTTTAGCAAACAGCTGCTCAGTATGTAGGAGCAATCCACCTTGAGATTGATCTCCTGAGATAATCAAAAGAACAAATACCTTACAGCTGAGGGACTCCCATTCTATAGTTTTTAGTTAGATGTTATTATTCAGTCTTCGCCTATACTACTGCCCGATTTCTCTCTTTTGTAGTAATGATGTTTCCGTCTAAGAGAAAATAAAACTTTTAACCAACGACACCATATAAAGTTGCTTGCTAGCAAATCAGTGCATGAAATCAAGATATACTAGTCATCTAGATAACCACACCAAGGAATACTTCAAATGGTTCTGAAATAACTACAAAGCAGACAAGAGGTTTCCCATCTTCCCGGGAAAAACTGATTCTACTTCTCTCACAAGCATAAATGACATGAACAATCACAAACTAGACTCGGATTTGATTCCACTGAGACTGATTCGCATAACTTGATGTTGCTATACCACATTTGCGGATTTGAGTTTTGCAAACTCTCCAGAGTCAAATTAGATCGGCGAACCACAAAGATATGGTTGTGTTTCCAAAGAATGATCTATCCCCACCCCCCCACAATGTCACAGTTCCATCTATCCATCTCATCCCATATTCTCCCCCCCCTCCTCTTTTTCTCTCAAAATATGCATTCTCAAACTCAAAACCTCATACATACTCCTCACCATCCCCCAGCCAAACCTCTACATACACCCATACCCGAGCAAACAGACAGCCCCGCAACCTATCAATCTATCCATCTATCCACCACCTCAAATCTCGACTCCATACTCACCGCATTCAAGGACCGTCTCCCCTCCTCTTCTCCATAACCGCCCGTTTTTCACCATCCTCTCTCAACCTTTAATCTTCATCCCACACCCCCTCTTTTCCTCTTTTCCTCCTTTCCTTCTTCTTCCCACAATTTCATTCGCGCACTGCACAACACCTCTGTCTCCTCTTTATTTCCCCATTCCACCAAACCCTCAAAACCAACAGCACGAAACACCATTCTTCCACCCACAACAGAAAACCATGCCAGAAAAATATCCATCCATAGCAAATTGCGTACACACTTCCACATCACCACCATAGATAGTACTTCTCTCAGCCTATTAAATCAGTCTTTCACAACAAAGTCCTACATACTCATGCACACACTTCAAACATAACATATCACCCATACCCACACATAGAGACTTCATACATCTCAAGAACCCTGAAGTGTTTAACATGTTTTAATGTGTTTTTCTCAATTTTTCCTTTTGTTTTCGTGAACTTTACAAACAAGCGAGCACTCTCACCGAGCTGCCCCGATATAACGAGAGTGCTCATCCTCAATCTATGTGCGTACTCAATATGCATAATTACAAGGCCCGCCTCCACCCTTTTGCCATCCCTCATTTTCGAAATCAGTCTCGCAGCTCCCCAAAACAATCCGTTCCATCCTATCTATGTACCCACGTCCCCAAAACCAAATACCAGTGTCATAAAAGTAATGCGTGCACCGAACGTTTCCTTCCCAAATCATTCATTTCACCCCGCGGCAATCAAACCAATATATTCATTTTACTACTGATTTGCCAGATTCCGAAACAAAAAAAAAACAACCAACCACTTAGTCATCCACTGACTCGTTCGTGATACGAAAAAGCAAGAATCATATAAGAAATAACTGAAAGCAACGCGGAAATTCACACTCTGCGGCAATGCGTGTATCAAAGCACCAACCTCACCACGAAAGAGCAGTTGCGGGCTCTGTCGAGAGGAGTTTGATTCATTGTAGATCTTTCCCTCCCCAGCCAAAATTTCATCGAGAGGAGAGGTGCCATGGATTGATATAGTACAATGTAACGCCGAAGATTTAGAGCTCTGTAGCTGCTCGTCTAAGGGTCGGTGTCTTGTTGCTCGCGCTTTTTGGTACTCTCTAACCAGCGTCTCTTGCCGGAACGCGTATCGAAATGAGGAATTGAAGTGACATCTCTCCCTGCATTACCAATGTTTTCTTTGACTTTGTTGCGCCATGCATCAACTGTTATAATGAATTAGTATCGATCTCTCCACCGGCCGATATAAAGGACAGGGATGTGACTCACGAGCTTTTTGTAAGAAAACCGACTTGTTTGCAAAGGTTCTGCTTTGATGCCAAGTCATCCTGTAACCCAAATCATTAAGCTTGACTTCCAATGCTCTCTGAGACTTGCGCATTCTTGGAATAGGGATTTCGGCCTCATCACCATTTGGCAAATGGACAGGAAACATTTTTCTGCCACGTCGAGAACGACCTCGGCCTTCAACTTCATCATCGCTATCGTCATCTTGAAAGAAGTCGCTGCCGTTTGCCAATGGAGGGGGCGATTGCATTTGCAGAGGAAACCAAGATCGTGAGTAGACAGAGTTAATCTTTCGGTATGAATCTGGAATTTCATTGATATCGACCGTATCCAAAGTAACGCGGACACGAACACGACTTTGCTTAACAGGATCCTCAACCAGGATGAACTTGCGCTTCTTTGCTTCTGGAACATTACCGAAAACATCGACGCCATCCTCCTCATCTTTTGATTGTGCGGCAATTGGGTGGGACCCGCGGGGTAAAGGACGTGCATCGTGAGCACCAGGAATCATGGAAGCTCCGCCTACTGAACTCGAAGGGTAGTTATTGTTGAAACCTGGGAAGGCTTGGTTTTGTCGTACATCGTCTCCCGAATTGGCAGATTGCCCAACTGGAGCTTGATGGTGATGGTGAGTATTCTCATCCATATATTCGTCGTCACCTACACATGGGTTTATTGATTAGCCTCTCAGGTTTATCCGGGAAGCAAAGCAATAACAATACAAAGCAAGCAATTTGGAGCAATACAATAATACAAAGACATAACGCGGGGTAATGGGTAGGTATCGCAGAAGGCAGAAAGCAAAGTGCAATGTTGTATTATACATGAAAGTGCTTTTGTGACTAGTCACTTTAAGACCCCAAATTTCCCCAATCAATAGGTATATTCGCAAGAATGGTATCATAACAAAATAATAATAATCGCACATCACATCTGGTGAAACATACCGACTTCTTCTCCTCCTTGGTTACTTCCATCAGGATGGGCGTGGTGGTGATGAAGCTGGGGACCACCCATACCGCTGAGGTTAGGTTTGCCCATGCTTCCCGCACCGCCAGGGCCCATGTTTGCAGAAGGTGGCATCCCTGTAGGACTTGGACCAGTCATGTGAGGGTTATGACTTGTAGCCGCTTGAACCGCTTTACGGTTGTTGATTTTAGCCATTCTTCGAACTCGACGACTTCTCAATCTTGGATCTTGGTTACTGTTTCTCCAACTATCGACCGCTCTTTGTATTAATCCACGTTTGCCACGTAGGCAAGGATTCAATTCTGCCAAGGCCCACCCGACAGTGTTGCACTCCGTTTCGTATACCAATCGATTTCCCCTGTATTGATCCTTGCTGCAGCACGCCCTCGGGTAAACACAATTCTCCGTTTTAAATTCCGGGCCTAGGTTTTCAACGTTTATAGACTCGACATCACATCTGATTGTATATTCCATCTTAACACGATCGCGTGAATATTCGAATGCAATCCATTGAACTCCGTTATTATCTTGTCGCACAACGAGTGGGGTAGTTGCTGGAATTGGACCCGGTGCGGCATTGGGATTGACACCGCTGCCGCCACTTCCGGGCGGATTATTAGGCTGCATTTGAGGTGTACCGTTCGCAGAATGCTGAGCCCCTAAAGGTGGATTGGGTCTAGCAATTTGTGGAACGTGTGGTTCCATTTTCGTTCGTGGACTTCCAGTCATACCAGGCTGTTGATGCTGATTAGGGTGTGGTTGCATCTGGTGCTGATTTGTCTGGTGTGACATGAGCAATGTTGGCTGTGAAGTCATGGATTGCTGATGATGATGCTGTTGTTGCTGCGGGGGTGGTGGCGGTTGCGCATACGGAGAAGGTCCCCCAGGAGCCATAGGAGGAGGGTACTGCTGCTGAGGTGGCCCCGGGTAATACATTTGCTGGCTTTGCTGCATTTGTGAAGATGACGCATACATTCTGTTCTCATGTGCAGGTGATGCAACAGATGCTGGAGAGTTGGATTGAGGGGTTTGGTAAATTGGCGGATATGGAGCTCGAGTCATATGTTGAGTGGCCATGATGTCTGGAGTTTCTGGACCTATGCAAAAATTAGTATCTAGTTTGCAATTGAAGTATAACGCGTCAAAAAGCGCGTTTACACACCTGCTGATGAATATGTACCCGATGCGCTTGGGGTACTGTAAGGACTTGCGTGAGTTGGGTAATATGGAAGTTCTTGATGTTGACCACCGGGCCCTGTCGCAGTTTGTGGATATTGAGGTAAAGCGTGTCCGGAAGGATACGCGTTAGGATGTTGTGGTGGTGGAGGAGCTTGTTGGTGGTGCTGATGCACAATACTCGAAGGTCGCGGTTGCTGTTGAAGATGGTGCGAAGGTGGAGGACCTTGACCTTGCGGCGCGTGGTGAGGATGATGCTGCATTGATGCCATTTGTTAGTTATGGTTTCTTCAACTTTTTATGATATATGTAACGTCAAAAATGTAGAGACCATTGAGAAAAACCAGTCGCGTCGCAATGTATTTTTTGAGACTTTAGGTGTATGAAAAGTGGTGGTCGATCCTTGATGACGAGGGTCAAGTGCAGCAGCGCGGTACCTGGAATGAGATCTTCTGACAGGACAGGCGGCGCAGAGTAATAGTGGTAGGAAAACAGCAAGAAATCTTTAGATGCGGGACTGGGACAAGGGAATAGAACGAGGGTGTACCTCAGTATAACAGATGCCTTGCTTCTATTACGAAATTTTTCAGATGAGTGGACAAGGACCACAAGCGATGAAGGCAATGTCCGAGGATCCAGTTTTTAAGTAGTGGATCTGACGAGGGTGAAAAGCTTATGAGATGAGCAAGAATAAAGACTCGAAGGAGCCGGAGAATAATAACAGAATGGGGTAGGTAGAAGATTGATCTGAGCGAGGATAACGTACGAGGGTAAGTAGCTTTTGATGAGATAGATGATTGTAACAAGCAGGACCGGAGATAGGCAGGGTAATTTGAGTGGTCTGAAATGGGGAAGATTAAGTTTGAAGAACAAGGGCTTCCAATGGATGGATGAGATGGATTTGATAATGATCAAAAGAAATGTGGAAGAGGGCAAGGGGAAGGAAATGTAAGTTACTCAGTGGAACCAAGGACAACGCATGGTATAAACGTGACAAGGGTTATATCGCATGAAAATGTAAAAAGGTGCGCGGACGTTGCAAGGTATTGAGACCAGATGGGGTATAGAATTTAGGGAAGAGAAAGTAGCCAGGGGCAAGGAGGTGGGGGGGATTGATGTTTACAGTTTATAACATCTTTTTTTAAGTGCACAAGGAAAGAAAAAATTGAAATAAAAATGGTCCGGGCCAGGTTCGGTTCGTTTGGCCCTGAAAAGACAGCGGTGTGTATGAGTGGAGGCAACTAGTCTATTTTCAAAGGATGTTGGGCTTGAGCTTGAGAATTGAAAGTGGGGCCAGTTACATGAACTTGCGCAGTACTATACGAAAATAAATAATAATAATTTTCTAAACCCAATTTACTTGACTCATTTAGGAGAATGAGGCGAGTAGTGTAGGGAAAATTGTTATGTATAGTATGTGCAAATTGCATGGAGGAAATGAAAAGAATAAAATCTTACTACAGAATAATAATAAACGATTACGACTCACGACTGAGAAGCTAAAAAGCTAAAAGGCACTTTCCTTTCTTAGTTCGTGTGCCAGAATATTACTAGAAGGTTTAAGGTGGAATGGAAGAGGAAAGCATAAAAAGACACCATCCGTTGTTGATGCGGCGTTGTAACCTTGGCAAGCCACTATACCAAAGTCTCCTTAAGACTTCCTGCAGCCTAGTATGAATATCCTGCTTATGCTTTTGTAATCCTCCTTCTCATAATTGTTTTTGCGTCGGCCAACTTGAACCAATACATTATAAGAGATGAAAAGGGCGAATCCTCGCATCCAATCAATCATACAACCATCTCAAAAATTGACTTCAGAGGCTGATGAGAGATCACACTAGAGAAATTCAGAAACCATCAGGTGCCGCTTGTACACACCAATCTTTTGATCTACATAAACTTTTAGCTGCATACGTGCGCAACATTACAATCTCCATTCGAAGTAAGCCGACCAATCAAAAACGAGGGCTTGACTGGTTCCACCCACCAGCCCAAAATAATCAGTCAGAGATTAAAAGCACCTTGCCTTTTGCTGATCTTAACCGTCAAGCGAATGGCTTAAAGGCCGTGCAGAAAATGTACACAGACTCGACCACCAACTAAACTTTTTTCGCCTTCTTCGCGTGGGATTGGGTAGCTGAAAACGAGATCCCTTGTTCATTGTGAAACGAGCCTACGAATCCACAATTTACTCGAGTCCTGCTAAATTTATGTTCTGGAAAAATTATGGAAGCCATACTTCCTTGCTTGCTTTTATGAGCGAGGAGGCTTATCCATGTAATCTTATCTAAAGAAGTGCAACTTGCGAAATCCAGAAAGATATCAAGATGAAAAAACAAGGCAGCGCATAAATCTTAACTTTAATATGATCGATCATCGGATATGCAATACGATGTCAAAGTCACAGTAGATTGTGTACTTACGTGTTCATTGTTCACTGCATTGCCAGGTTCTTCCTTATATTGACGATGGGACATTTTGGAGGGTGATGTCTAATTCGGTTAGCACTTGATCGATAACCACAAAAATACCAGCCACCTAGAGACAACCGCCGAAAAATAATACTAGGAAATGGTTGTTCATGTAAAGCAAAGAATAACAATGTATTCATGCCATGCGATGCCATGCAACATCCGTGCTTGGTGCAAGATTGCAACATAATGAGAACGGGTCCAACTTACAGTTAACGGGTAACGGACGATTCGGTTTGAAGTTTCGAAGGGTTGTTGACGCGTTCGACGGGTGGGATATGAAACGAGTTCCGTGTATGGTGTAGATCGCTGTTTCTGCAAGTTTCTATATTAGCTTTTATCCTTATTTCAAATTGTCTCATGCCACTTCAATGCATCGTCGAAAGAAAATGTGTCCATAGTGCGAGGCTATGCAAGGAAGAGAAACGTCAAGTTGCCCCATTGTGCATTCCCCGAGTACGTAGATCCAGCTGTGATGATCCTAATGGGTTACGGATGCAGAAAAGGATGATTCGATCAGTATAAGTGGGTATGAATAATTGATTCAATTGACCTTCAAACCAGGGATGGAATGAAATCAATTGACTTTCTGTTCCTGTCAAATCTTTGAAGCTGGCGAGGCTCATGGACACTGGGCAATTCGAAAGAAGCCCAAAGTTCATCTGAGCAACTGATGCGCCTGTTCTGTAATACGATATGGGCCGGACCGACGACGTCCGTCCCAAGATCGCTGGTGTGGATAGAGGATTCAGACCGGGCAGGGTTTTGGTGGCGCAACTTAGACATTTTCCTGGCAGGGTACGCTTCCTGGGGTACGCGAGGGGCCTTATTCATCTAGTAGTCACTGGACCATAGAAGAGATAGTTTGATGCTGAGAACATAATGACTATGTTTGGAACTTACAATGTTAATGAAAGTCGAAGGTAGGACAGTAAAAGTCGGCGATGAATTTTAGGGGCCTGATTTTCATGTCAGTTATATTCCAAAGAATCATGATAGTAGAAAGTCTGAGAACAAATGAATTACATGCATACAACACAATACAAAGTACGGATGAACCAGAAATCTGATAATGACGCAACAATATGAGTGAGGCTGATCGCGGAAGAACAAGGCACAGCGATAACCGTGGTAAAATACCAGGTCTTCTCAGAGCGAGCGGATGGACAGATATATTATAGAAACATGGGTCGATCGATTGGTAAACAAAAGTCGACCAGATTCAACATCGTGATTAGAAATATGGAAAAGGTTGCAACCCATACAAGGGCATAAAGCTGGTCATCTGCAACAAGCCTTGCAAGCGGATGACACTTCGCCTAAATATGTGGTGGTGGATAGAGAGGCAAGGATGAGAAGCACCTCGCAGTAATGGTTCAATAACAGTACATCGAGGGGTGGAGAGAATGAAAAGAGTTCAATCTAGAACACTTACTTGTAGGATTTCCTATCGAAATTTTTTTGGTGAAAATGAAGGTCCGGCCAATATGCACCGCTGGGGTGTAGAGTTGCAAAAGATGGATGGTTGGTTTCCTATAGGATTTTAGTTAGAAAGCTATCCCATGTAAAATAAGACCCTTCTTGAATGAGGGCAGCCCTGCTCATTCACCGATAAGCATTCGATGGATTTCCTTATCGCAAAATGGCCCTCGAAATAGCTATGAAATATTGAATATTGATTTGTGGCGGTAAGAGATCTTCGAGGTAATTGAAGAAGCCCCGATGGCAATTCAATCATGACTTGTACTGAGACTGGATGCCTTGATGGAAGATGAATTGAAGTCGACTTACGGGATTAATTGCGGATAGAGGCAGATGCGTGTGTGCAATGCGCCGTGCGATGATTCCCACGTTTAGCTCTTCCCAATGATTATTTTTATATTCTCGATCTTCCGATTTCCGATTCCCTACTCTCGATATTTTCGACTTGTGCTGGAAAAGGTCCCAATGAAATCAAAGGTCTAACCGAACTTGCAGACCCAGACCGAAGTTCCAGGTGAATGGTTACAGTTTATGCTCGTCGAGTATCTCGGGGGTGGATGGCTGCCGCTGAAGATCGTGGGCGGGTATGTAGTAGTCGACTGGGGTATCTTAATCTTTGGGAATATTTGGTAGATCGAGTCTGGGTAACACAAAAGGTTAGCATCTGTGTGAAGTTCGCATGCAGCTAGCTAGCTGAAAGAATTGGTACCAACGATCGCAAAAGTCTAGCTGGAAAGGTGTTTTGTCGAAGACTTTGTTTTTGTTGAAGTGAAATCTTGCTTGATAAACTGCGGTCAAGAAAATTCACCTCTGCGCTATGGTTCAAAACGGCGCGTCTTCTCTTTTGTACGAGATACCACGTTGATGAGTTGTACAGTTGGTGACTCTTTTGTAACCTGAGCACATTGCACAAGGATGAAAATATCGCGAGGTCGAGGTGATGGTATACAAGAAGTTTACCGGTAAGAATCGCTAAATAAAACAAAGCTGTATGTGCCCGCGACGCGCTTCTTACCAAATGTGGAGGCGTTCGACAAATTCACTTCACCTGAAGAATTCCAGAGATTTGGTAGAAGAATATGGAGAAATTAACCGCATCTCACCTTTCGCTATAATTGATAAAACTGTTGTATTGTACGGTAGAATTTCGAGAATCGAGACCGTATGTGAATAAAACTATGGATTTCGGTGTCAAAGTACAGAGTGCAATGACCTCACTCTTTTTGACCTAATAGTCAGTTAGAATATTATTTTAGTTGTTGAAGTTATTGTCATCGTTATGAGAAAACTTTATTTCAACAGTTTTGGAGCCTTTCATCAGATTGGAGGGAGAACTTACACCAAGAACACAGAAGGTACGAGTTCGAGCGAGTCGGTAGCTACTTTATGATCCAATGCCTATGTTGATAATTCTCAAGGTACTGAATTACTATTAGTCAAAACTATAAAGCTAACATGTTCGTATTCAAAAGTGCAGGATTAAAGCTACTCACAATTCCAACTTCTCTTGAATACTTGAAATTTCACAACTTCTAACAATCGCAACCAACCAAATTCTCAATATCAATTCTTTCCGAATAGCTTCAATTTTGCTATTCCAAAAAGGCGGTGATCAATAATTTTTTTTCTGCCAAATGGTTCTCTGCGGAAGCAAGGATGGCAATTATACCCGTTTGTGATGGAGATCCTTGTCGTCGATTGCAGAAAAAAGCTTGACTTATTTACACGGCTGGGTTGTTGTAGCTGTCAACAAATGACAAGTGCAGTGCAGGGCTTTTGCTTAGAAACTGGGATGATCGATTGTTGTCCAGATATTTGGGTTTAGAGTTATAAGGCCAGCAAGGTCAAGGGCTCAAGGCAAAGAGGGCTGAAATTTGAGGGGAAAACGTAGGGATGGATAGAGACGATGAAGAAGTGCTCGCTTCACTAGAGGTAATAGTGTAAAAGTGTGGAGTGTTTGCAGCTTCAACCTTGAATGAGAATGGAGATGAACGGTGTCAGGATCATGGGTTGTGATAAACTTTGGAGGAAATTGGTGAACAAGGGGAGTGAAATCAAGAAGGAAGTGAGTGAGTGCGAAAGAACGAAGAGTCACATCCAGCATACTGCCAAAAAAAATGGTACTAGGGGCAATTTGCTATCAACACGCTCACAAACTGCTACAATATAAACTTTGGCGAAAGTTCTTACTCTTTCCAATTAGCGTCACTACTACCATCTACGGTATGTCAAAATAAACTTGTCCTGTCCTGTCGACCAAGACACAAAAGACGGTAAGAATCTTTGAAATCAACGTATGCCGACACAATCGATCAATCTGAAATCAAGTCCTGTTTGGAGAAGTTGAGAGCCATCATCCAATCAATGGTGGTCATCGACGACTATCTATTACCACCGCAATCTATTAACCCGTGAGAAAGGAAAGAGGCTTTTCGATAAAGTTTCTAGCGAGTACATATTAGTATGAGTGCATGACACCAGAATCCAAATCTAAACCTCTTATAGTATCAGACCAAGCATTTCGATCACTCGATCATCAGAAGGGCAAAATCTCCTTGAAATAAAACCGGTAATAAGCATGAACGATTCGAGTATGGACTGCAGACTCCAATTACAAAAAAGCCACAATAGCACTATCCGAAACAATCATGTTGATTGTCCAGCGGCTCGATTCTTCCACCAAAAGGCCGCGCAACTTTGCATCGGAGATATTCCCTATTCGGTCATTCGAGAGACGTGATCAACACCGGTAGGATTTGAAAGGCTAATCGTTGTGGATAGAGTGGTACGAGATGGCATGAAAATGTTGGAATTGCTTCCTTGGCATCTCATGGTGACATTGGTCTGTTTCGGTTCGTGAGCACTGAGGAGGAGCCTTTGGAAATAAGTTTCATGATGATGTTCGCACGTATGAATCACGTACAATCGCTTCAGAGCATGTGATGATTCGTTGTGCCGACGGTATACTCTTTTCAGGTATAATTGTATAAAATCACAATGAAAGGGAAGGAATTCTAGCAGTGAGAAAATTTCAAATTCTACCTTTCATAATTTTCCATATGGCCTGCTTTACTCTGCACTAAAGTCTTTAGCTCTGATTGGGAATCTACTAAGACGATCACGAAGACTAGAAAAGGTTTAATCTCATGCTAGCTAGTCGGAGGAGTTAGTATTCGACCGTTAGTTTCTAATGCCTAAAAAGTCCGGAGACCGATATCTGTCTTCAATTCATTGTCAAATTCCGTCATTGTGCAAATGGAAAAGAAATGAGCAAAGGAAACTTCCGCATGTACAAAATGACGGTGAGCTGGTACAGTAATCATGCAACGTCTAATTCTCACCCGCTCGCTGAAATGCCGAAAGTTTAGATATGATGAAGGGGGAGTGCAATTTTATCACAAAATTCGGTCTCGCCGTCTACCAATGAGACTGGGTATTCAATTCGCTTGCCATCTTCTCGCATCTGCACCCACTCCAATATCTCCTTTTCTTTCCTTCTTGGAAGCTCTTTTTCAAGTTCGTGTGGAGATGCCTTCCAGCTTCCGGACCACCTTCATGACCAATCGATATCCTAGTCATAACCGTTTTACCCGGGCCGCGCAAAATAATCTCTTCTACCTCCTTCACTTGATTCCGAAAGTTTATACGCGAAGTCATGATGAATCCGAGTTCACGACATAAGTGATAGATGTTGAGGCTCACACCAAGTGACGTTGGAAAGATGGATCTTGATAGCGATTAAGTTTATTCTAATCCATGGTAGATTCCCAGGCTGAAGAGCCCAGTACCGGCATCGTGAACCATTCGTGGGGTGCTTGAGTTGGGGTTGTAGACCCTCAAGGTCCTTCAAAAGCCTTGCACGCTGTCCTTTTGCCCTGCTGCCTCGGAGAATTAGACCGTGGTAAAAATGAGCTCCCCTCGAGGATTGTCATCTCACACCAACATGACATGTCAGAGCGGGAGGGAAGGGGGGCCACGGTACAATTCTTTGGGGAATGGCGATCTTGGATCTTGATTTTCAAGCATCCTCTACACAATCACTATTATAGCTTACATTTTTTCTGTCGGATATGGACTAAACATTATCGCCGCAACTACGCTGATAGCCTCTTCATGATCAACCATTCATAATGAGCTTTTGGGACTCAGGTCCGATGCCATCATGCCACCGAGGTAAATTTCACATGCGCCCTGGTGGCACATAATCACACGAAGTAACGTTTTTGACTCAATCAACGATAGAGCCAATAGCAATAAAGAAATCAGGCAAAGAAGTCGCGCATTCTCCGAAACTCAACGGCAAAAGTTCCTGCTAAGAAGGAAAACATCCTGTCATTTCTTCAACGCCTATTCTGATTGCACATCCCTACTCCATTGTTCGATTAAACGACGATTTGGTTTGTGCGCTTGCATGGGAAATTTATCACAAGGATTGAGGAAGCTGCTGGGCTTGTCGGTGGAAGACGCCACAACACCCTGAAAACTTTCCCTGAATCCATCCCCTGTTATGCGTGTTAAGACACCTAAAAACAAACCGTTGCACACTTTCATTTTTTGCCTACCAGCCCCTGTTTGACAGCTTCTAATTCCTTGTCGACATTAATGCTTGCTTGAACTTAGGTTAGTTCCCACATGGGAAAATGTCAATATCAACCTCATGGCAAATATGCATGGGATGATGGGACACACTTGTACCTTACAGCGAACAGAAATCATGTGAATTCTCCATTATATTTTGAAGTGACGATAACGATTCATGGAATTTTCCCCAAATACACGTAACCTACTACCTGGGCCACGGGAAACACATTCTGTATCTAGCCGTTCAAACGAAAAGTCGGGTCGCCACGAGACCCGAGTAACTAGTAGGAATTATGAATTTATGGCAAATCCCGTGGCGAATAGACTCTTGGTTACCTCAATGCATTACTCGACAGATTATTTGCAACATATCTCTTCTCTTATTTAGTGCTTCCGAAGTCCTTCAATCTCTGATAAAGAGAGACCGAGATGAGCAACACGATGACTTATCTAACGGAATATACCTCAATAGAGTATGGCCATTTGAGAAACATCGTATCATACTGCATTAGTAATTTTAGCCGTAGAACATAAGTTGGAACACGTCTAAACACGAAGCTATTTTTGGTGTTTTGGAAATGGCTAATAGATTGATTGAAGATCAAACAGCTCCATTCCAAGTTGCGGGATAATCGTTTCGAGTCTTTCGACCCAAAACTCCACAAGAGCACAAGAGCAAATAGATTGTGATCAGCGCCAGACCGGGATATGTCGCGAAACCAAAAGCAAGACTCTGACGACGTTTGAAAGAGCCTAAAGTAAAGCGCCCTCGAGACCGCCCAAACTAACTCTCAACGTCCGCATGATTCGCGGCACAAACCCTCATCTACGGACATGTAGCTTATCCAAGATTGAATACATCGTCAATGGCTTTTCCTCAATCCTACTCTAACATATTTTACGTAGGGCACTTGAGATGTTTCCGATACTGAATCCTAGACACTCGCTTGAGGGGGAAGCTGATCCGAATGTAACTTTCAGGCTTTACGGAAGAACTTACGAGAGCCCTTGATGCATACCTTATTATCTTACCCGCTTCATCTGAATCAAGATACCAATCTTCACCTCTCATCAATGCTCCAATGAACTGGCACGGTCTTGGGATGAGGACTCCACCATTTCCCTATCTACAGTGATAATCAAATCTACTTACAGAACGACAAACGGGGCTCAATTTTGAGTGCTCCCTGAATTTCCACCCCCACACATACATTCCCACATACAATAGTTCTAGACCTATCTTTTTACGATATATTTTGTCTACAACAGCTCCCTACGGAGTCACAAGGCGGCAGTTACGCTTGATTCGGTAAACAAATTATTTATTAATCTAATTCCAATGCTTCATGCATAAAAAAGTCCACACGGGACAATATCAGAAAAACGATTAGAACGATGAAATGAATTGTTACCATTCTAGTGATAGCTTTTACGACCCTTTCAATGATACACTTCCTTTGAATGAGGGAAAAAAGGAAAAACACTGCCACGTCGAGAGTTGCTCCGAGACATCCGGGTAATAGATCCTACTGGTTCAAACTGAATAGAAAACTCAAAAAGCAGCAATGTAAACTCACATGATCTGACACTCCAATACGGCAACGGCCAACTTCCGCGCACCAATGAAACACAAGTACAGCCTTATATGTTGTTCCTGATATACCCTCCATCACGAGCAAGTCCCGATCTCAGCGCACCTGCGATGAAATGACTTGAACGAATGAGCATCTCCTAGTCGCATATCTGCTGAAAAATAGATGATGCCGATATACACGTATTACGATATCAATATGATCAAAGGTAACACCATCTTGGCTGCAGCTTATCGCGTTTTTGTGCAGTCCAGTACAGAATGGTACAGTCACTGGTACTCGACATGAATAGCATACCACCACACTACGTATCGCCGAATCGCCACACCCTCATTGCCGTATCGCACTCCCAATCTTGCACTTACCAAGCCTAAAAGGATTGCGCCACGTGCTGTGCCTCTCCTCCGCATGAGATATTTTGCCCTTCTCTTTCTCAGCTTTGGCGGTCCCCGGACATTGGGATGAGCAACTGGGCAAATAATGAGGATAGTGCGCAGCGTAATGAAATCCTACTCTGCCTTCCCTTTCTCCTGCAGCATGCATGTGCTGACACGGAAGGATTCGTGACCCGCAGGACCGAGCAAGCCACAATATAAGATTTGATAGAAATATTACTCACTCTGGAAATCAAACCATTCAGAAAATTGGAAATATTATCCCTTTACGAAAGTACGGAGGGTATGTATTGTAGCAGGAGTACTACTGGCTGGGGATAAGATACCGGTAACTAGTTTGACAGAAGAAGAAATTCAACCAGAAACCAACTCAAACAACAAAAAAAGTCATTCCGTTGACCGTGTTTGGAAACTGCTAATGCAGCGAGTTTTGACTGCAGTGTTCCTCTTCCTGCATCCAATCTCTCCAAGTCTTCCGAATTGTTGGTAATCATCATCAAACGAGGAAAAAGCCAGGTATCTACAAATCACAATCTCGAATTCGTATCGCATTTTCCTTTCGCATCCTTCACCGCTTTGGGTATGTGGTTGTAGAATATCTTCCTCGTAAACAGTGCCAATAGTGGTCTTTCGATTTATCAAACAAACAATCAATCAATAAATCATACAATAATTCGCATATAGAATCAGGTAAATTTAGTAGAGAGTTAATCGGTGAAGCATGCATTCACACTGCACACTAATGAAAGAAGAATACAGAATATGCAGTAGGAATGTTGTGTGAGCTACTCTTAGCATATTGAATGCAAGCATGATATAATCAGGAAATCTCTAAAAATAAGACCTTGGAACCTCGTTACATGTCTGCAAAGTCGTTATTTGGGAAAGTTGGGATATGTATGTATAGATGTATGTATGTATGTAGGAGGTATATTGGAAAGCTAAGAAGATCAGATAGAGACAGTTACGCACACGGATCACAGATCCAGAAACGAAATGCACTGGAAATGCAAAATGCAATAGAAATGTCGTGAACATGTAGCGAAACACAGTAGTTGAGTAATGTAATCGGTAACCCAAATTCTGGTACAGTAGCACTCCAGATGTTGTGAAATTACAGCACATGTTATTTATCGAGACGGGATGCAGGAAGCCGTTTGGTGGGATGGGTGAATCGGCGACTGGGCTGCTGGGCTGGATGTTTGGGGGTGCTGACTTTGCTTGCTTGCTGGCTTTTCATGGGGACCTGGAAATGAAAAAGCGTTTCTGGGGTTTCATTGTTTCTAGGGGTGCGGTGACATTGACGAAGATTGTTGTCCCTCTTCGTTTCTGTCATGGGCGGTCCCTTCTTTTGGGTCCAGAGTTGAAGAACTTGGGTTTGTGCTACGCTTGTTATGCCTGGAGACATGGTTGAATCGAATTGTCGGGATCGCGTTTAACACGTGATATATCTCTATTTCGTGGTTCACATTGTACACTGTTTGAGTCGTAGTCTGGTTGAAGCTTGCTTTTGAGTCGTGAAATCATTTTCATATCGCGAGTTCTGTCGTGAATCTAGGCTTGGATATATCAAATACTTCATACATCATTGTCCCCATCGCACGCGTGGGTTTAACCAAGTACCTATGATGTTTTTCCGATCGCGCAAACAAGCTAATTATCACGACATCTGCCAGAATAGGAAATTTCCGTGTCACACCATCTTCTGTATCCAAAGATAAACCGTGAAGCGACCTCTGATACGCATCAATCGATGTGGTATTCGGTCTATCTGCTTCATTTTGATTGATGAAATTCTCAAGATGGTGATGTGTGGTTGGTTCCCTATCTCAAGTGAGGGGAAACCAGGTATTTGGCCGTCAAATGTTGTGGATTTAGTATGCGAATATTGGGGGTTTGGAGGTGGATCTTATCAGCGATGATTTTCTGTTGAACTGTTCACTGTAATTATCTTTAATGGCTGTTCTTAAAGTCTTGAAATCCAGGAGAGTGATTTGCTGGACTTTGTATTCGCAATAATCCAGTATCAAAATGGCAACTTCAATTGATGATGAGAAGCATGTGACTTCTTCTCCTGCACAATCAAAAAGTAAAGCCGTGGACAGTTCATCATCAGCTGCTGCAGCTCATTTGGATGATAACTATGCTTTGTTTCAAGATGCTAGGGATATCGAGGTCGATCCTCGAGAAGTGAAGAGAGTGCTTCGAAAGATTGACATGCGGCTCATGCCCATTCTTTTCATCACATATATGTTGCAATATCTAGACAAGAATTCCATCAACTTTTCAAGTGTGTATGGATTGCAAAAGGGTACCCATCTGAAAGGACAAGAGTATTCCTGGCTGAGGTGAGATCATCGATATGCATTGTTCCTTCGTGATACTTTTCAGGCCATGCTAACAATGTAAATAGCTCGATTTTTTACTTCGGCTATCTATTCTTTCAATTTCCATCAGGCTACTTTCTTCAGCGCCTTCCTATTGGGAAATTTCTCTCTTTAACCACTATCGCATGGGGAGTAATCCTCATCACGACTCCAGCATGCGTCTCCTTTGGCGGCATAGCCACCAATCGATTCCTCCTCGGCGCCGTCGAAGCAACCATAAATCCTGGTTTCGTCCTCCTAATGTCTATGTGGTACACCTCCGCCGAGCAACCTCTCCGTCTTGAAACCTACTACTGTACCAATGGTATCGCAACCATGTTTGGAGGTCTCATCGGCTACGCTGTCGGACACATTACCACCGGTCTCCCGAAATGGATGTACGTCTTCCTCATCTTCGGAGCCATCTCCATCTTCTGGGGTGTAATCTCCCTCATTTTTCTCCCGGATCTCCCTTCCACAGCCAAATTTCTCACACCCCACGAACGTCTCATTGCCGTTTCCCGCGTAGCATCTAATCGTCAAGGCGTAAAGAACCACCATTTCCAGACCTATCAAGCATGGCAAACGGTCAAAGATCCAAAAACTTGGATCCTATTTGTCATGGCTGTCGGTGCACAAGTTCCCAACTCTGCTCTTACATCTTTTACATCTATTATCGTAGGAACATTCGGGTTCGATACCCTCGGTACCCAGTATCTACAAATTCCCGGCGGAGCAGTGCAATTCCTCGCGTTGATGACAGGTGGATATATATGCACGAAATTCCCTCGGAATTCAAGATGCATTACTATGATTGTTGCGAACACGATTTGTATTCTCGGTTCGGGATTATTGGTTGGTCTTCCAAGTAGTAATAAATGGGGACGATTAGTAGCGCTTTGGCTGTGCTATTTCCAAGGATTGGGATTTAGTATGAGTCTCACGATGGTGAGTAGTAATATTGCGGGGTATACGAAGAAACAGTTGACGGCAGCGATCCTGTTTACGGAATATTGCGTGGGGAATATTATTGGACCGCAGACTTTTATTAAAAGTGAAGCTCGTGAGTGTGCCTTTTCTTTTCTTCGTATCACTCTCTAGTGCTCTGTTCTTGTTTCGTGACTTGGTAGACTAATATACATAAAGCCCGATATCATTCAGCGTATATAGCAATGTTAGTAGGCTATTCTGTTAAGTTGGCAATGGTTGTTGTACTGTACATATATATGTACTCAAGTAACAATAAAAGAGATGCAGAGCAGGCGGCAAGAGGAGAAATAAGTGAGGAAGAAGAAAGAGAGGCTGTAGAGAAAGGTATGATGGATATGACGGAGATTGATAACAGAGGGTTTAGATATATTTTGTAGATAACAATATATCAGGGACAATAAATAGATAAAGCTTCTTGTACTTCTGTTTGGATTTGTGTGTGAACTGTTTAGTGGGATCTAGTAACTACTTTCACGATCATTTGAGGACATGTTGAATCAGTGTAAATGCGATTTAGTAACACTCATTAAATAGACTCTATAAGTACATTTCGCTCCCGCGAATGGGTAACAGTTTAAATATGGGCAAGAATCACAACTAATCGTTCAGAAGCTCAGATTGACGATATATTCCTTGCTTACTCAAATCTTTCTTTCCAACTCTTTCTTTGCCTTTAATACTGCTCGTACTCCTGCTGTTGGTCTCGCTGCCGCTTTTGCTCGTGCTATCTTCAGTAATACCTCTCTCAAGATTCGGGGGTAGAGAATCCTTCGCCGAATCTCTACACCTTCTTTCTGGCCTTGGAGCAGTTGAAGAGTTTCGCCCTGTGACTTCTTTTGTGGCGAAAGAGATCTATCCACTAGTTTCGGCTTGCTTCAGTAGCGGATCAGACTCGGAATTTTCATCCGTCCTCGTCGTGATCTGCGCTGTTTGAGGCCGACGCCTATCTCCTGTATCTTGACTCGTGTGATTTTCTTTCCATTCGGCCATGTACCCATTGATGATTTCAATCTCTGAGCGGACTTCCTCGATATCAAGAGATTGCGCTGTGCTATATGCTCCAACGAATAATACCAATCCAATGGTGTACAGTAAAATCGCATATTTTGCGCCGTTAGGTTCTGTAGTTCCAAATTGGCCCAGATGTAAGCCCAAATCCAATATTAACATTCCAAAGGGATCGAAAGAAGCATTTGGGGGCAGAGGCTGTGAAGACTGATGATATGCTTGGCCAGCCCTATCTTTCAGCATCCGGTTCCTTTGAACCTCCCCTAATCCATCGACGTATTTCTTCCCCTGTGATTAGACGATTCAAGTTACGCTGCAGACAGCTGGCGTGAAACACAGCCAGGATGGCGAATATCAAGCTGAGGACAAAAGACGCCTTTGTTAGACAATATGTCTGATTTGAGAGCTCTAGTGACGGTCCAGTCATGGCCATTTGAGCAATAACGGCAGCCTACTCAATATTAGCATCAAAGTCATTGTAAATGAAATGTGAGAGACTAACAGCAACAGCAACCATGTTACATTCTGCGAGTGTCGAACTTTTGAATTCGGAAGCCCTTGAGTTATCGGGTCTATTTTGTCCCTCTTTGAGCTCACCAAGGACTTTTGCCTGCTTATACCAAGTAGTGCGGCTGCCGAAAATAAACAGCGGAATGGCAGAGAGTCCATACAGTTCGAATAATTGCCAGTTTCTATACGTGCAGCGCCCCATTATATGAAAAGCGTCAAGATAAATCTCGTTTGCAAAATGCTCAGTGTGATGAACAAAAGTTTGAGAGCAGTGCGGATTACCTAGACCGCAGCACTTCTAAACCAACTCACTGTACCTATCGAAGAAGATATTACTAAGAAATGAAATATCTTTGATTTATTTGATGAGAGAAGGACAATCAATTGGTACAATTAGATCGATAAGGAGGGGCAAGAATTCCCCTGCTTGTAATTCCGGTATGTTTCATGTCCAAAGTATTCTCGCAAGCATTATTAAGTCAGTTTCAACAATGCTGTACTCTCTCTTTGCCATGTTTGGTCACAGTTCTGTATGGAAACCCAACCAATTATCTTGGTAGTGTGTTTTGATTACAATTGTTTCTTTGGACAAACGACAACCTTTATCGCTTGACTTTCGACTTTTGAGAGTGATGCAACACAGAGTGCTATCATTATGAGTGGTGTGTCATGGCAGATTGAGGGATATCATTTCGTTTGCTGAATTGCGGGTTTGAAGACATTTAGACATTCGATTTGGATATCAATCAAATCAGTATTGATTGAGCGGGGGCAATCAACTCATCTGTTGATTGCGCTCGTGATTTCAGTAATTCATCTCCAATGTTTGAACCGAACATCTGAATAACAGCAAGAACCCAGGTGTTTTATAATGCGGTTGTACACGTTGCACATTGAGAGATTTGTCTATTCTATCACATGCCGGCCTGTGAAATCAGCTTTTTGGTTGATCACACGTGTAGCCGCAGAAATCATCCGTATTCCTGAAGTCAATTTAATTTTTACATTGTTCCCATTCCGAATGAGTTTCCACACAATCTCGTTATTCTAATTTTCACCGAAATGTTTCAGACGTTATTCATCTCCTCCATCTCATTCCGCACAATTGTGAGGTTTTCCTCGATTTCGGTGCCAGGAATCGGCTTCAGAGTCCCATTCTGAAGACACCAATGTCGGTCAACATTCCATCGAGCCAACACGTCAGGGTGGCTAGCTAAGTATTCATTCATATAACCATCAATGATATCTGATTCCGAACGCTTATCTTGGCCACGAAACCATCCCAAAACCACATACATACCTCCAGAAAAGTATAGCCCAACAAAGTACAATATGAAGACATTTCTCGAGTCAGTAGCTGGTTCCGTAGTATCTAGTCCACGAATCCAGAACTTACCTAAATATATCCCCAAACTGATAAGAAGCAGAGAAAGAGAGCCAGAAAGCAACATCTGAGGGGCAGAAAGGGTGATTACGGATAAAGGACTCGGGATAAAGCATTGTCTCTGGAAATCCTCCTTAAGATCGCGAACATCTAAGTCCTCCGGTAAGTAATCGTCGGGCTCACAAGGATCAAGCTTGAACCCTACTTCCATAGAAAAGACTCGGTTGATGGCCTGTTTCCTCCCTCGTATCCAATGACGAACATCTCTTGCTTTGATTAGTCGACCGAGGATTCTTTTCTGGGTAACGGAATAGTACACCGATACCAAAGAAAAGGTTAAGCTCATCACAAAACAAGATTTTGCTGTCCAATGAGTTTTGTTCAAAGAGTCCAATGATAATCCTGTGATAGCAATTTGTGCAACAATTGCAGCCTTCTTTTCGTCAGTACTCGGAAGACTTGGCGTCGGGCTCAGCTCACAGCTACGGCGATCATGGTACATTCATCGCATGCCATCTTTTTGAATGCTATCGCGTCTTCATCTTGTAATTCGCCAATGATTTGTGCTTGCAAGAGCCATACTGTACGACTTCCATACATCTTGAGAGATAAAGCACCAATACCGTACCATCTCCATTGTTGAGCGGTTGGCAAAAGCCTGTTGACTATATCGAATGGAGGCATCGAATAGATTAGAAATCTCAAAATAGAAGAATCTGTTTTGATATGAATTGTGAATTTCAGGTATAAGTGTTTTGTTCATGTAGAACTGGGAAGTTATCAACGTCGTTGCAATGCATGTTGTGTGGGGTTGAAGATCCCACTTAATGTTACACAGCTCGAATAAAGTGGCTGTGTACATGATCTTGACACATAAGGAGATCTGACTGTAGTTATCGGCCTCAAAAGCCCTGAGACTCACATGGGCAGAATTAAGAATGGTTATGACATAACCCTTTAACGCAGGCAAAATCTCACTGGTAGGTCAATATATACTCCTTACAATGAAATTTCCTTCTCCTTAAGCAACAACTCAAGGTTGTGAAATACCAATCTCGTGAATATCTTATCCCCAGGATATTTTTGAAACTCAGAACATCATCTGTTAATCTTGCTCCCAGCCCCTTATCCTAGGTCTCGCTTCTCTCCTAGCTTTCAACCTAACCAATTCCAGTCGTTAGTTTCGACTAACTCGAGTAGAGGCGATAACCTGAGAATGTTTTCAGCAAGAAATTACACTTTGCTAAAATTGCGCTATCACAAAAAAGTTGAAGCTAGTACAGTCGCTCCCGTACTTTGAATTCGCGGGCGGTCGCGCATTATGATTAGTCATGCAATACATTGGACATACAGCCTTAACGGTAACACTAAGGGTTTGGTACGGTTGTATCTGTAGAAGATAATCATCTCAAACTCACCGGTACGGCTCTTATAGATTGGCTGTACGGCAGTTGTACTGCCGTATGCACGACCTGATGACAAAATGAAGAGCACTAGCCTATACAGAAATTATCGCTTAGATCCATTACTGTCATTTTCACGGTGTTATTGTCAAAATTGATGATCATGTACTCATCTGAGCTTATGAGTTGGGAACCGTATACATGAGCGCGATATCAAGAACATAGATCAATCTCTGCTAAGCTTGGTAATCGTGAATGATACAGCCATGAACAACGACAGCGACAACACCGTAGGTACTTCCATTCCTACTTAAGCTAAGGAATCCCCATTCTCTCTCTCTCTTTTTTTCCCTCCCTCTTCCAGAACACTTCTTCTACAAACAAATTAAACCGCAAGACCAATTATCGATTGAAAGACCACTCGACATCTTCATCTCAATTCTCAAACCAAACAGATATTCCCCAGCTACCAATCATCCACACGCGATCATGAACTATTCAAATAGTTTTGGTTCTCCAAGCAATTCAATGGACTCATCTGCCACGATCAATACGAGTGTTAGTTCCAGACCCAATTCACCAAATCCTCGAGCTCCAGGATTGTCATTCAGCTTGGCAATCCTTTCAAAGAACCCAGAAACTCTGAACGATCCACACAAGCCACTTCAATATCCATTAGCATCTCCAGACTTTTATTCTCGCTTTGCTGAAGATGATACTGACACCGAAATGGATTTTGAGACTGTAAGTTCTTGTCCTTTATATCATAAAACGACAGTGCTCTTGCTAACGGATATGCAGGAATTCAATGACGTCATGGAAGAAGACGAGGGTGACGGCCAGGGCATGGTTGAAGAGTATGAGCCGGTTATGATGAGACTTGAGCGCGAAGAGACTCGAGGAAGCAACTTCATTGATTGCCGACAGTGCGGTATCGCTTTCGATTATTCGAGAGCATCTTTGTGGGTGCCTAGCTATAAACGCACCCCGTCAAAGTCTTTCCAAATTCCAAATGAGAATACACATCCACAGATCGTCCGATGTCCAGAATGCAATACAGAGAATTGTATGGGCTGTGAAAAATCTCCTCATGACGACTGTTGCTCATACGCAAATTATCGCGTCGTCTGGCATGCTTTGTGCGCTGTTGACGATGCCATAGTTCAGCATCGTGTGGGGTCTCCATATCCAAGAAACAATAACCTCCTCAATATGGCAGTCATAAAAGCTTTGGATATTTTGATTGAACATATTCCAAAAAAAGACACCACCTCATTCGGATATTGCGAACTTGTCCGAAAAAGTATGTTGTTGGACCAGGTAGCAGTTACTATTCACAACATGGATGAAGAAAATCGGTTCGATACTGTTTGTTTGAAGTCTTGGGAATTTGTACAAATGCTCTCCCAGCGCCAAGATCTCTATGGCTTATTGTTTGAAGAGCGACTTCAGTTCTTGAGAAACTTGTCTCCTGGTTTCAGGGTTCTGGGGTTCCCTGTTGCGTTTTTTACAACTGAGCAAGACCTTGACGCTGATCAATATGCGCCATTGACCTATCGTATCTGGCCCATTATACAACAGAGCTATAAGTCTGCGCATGACTTTCTGTCTTCAAGTGCTCAACTGAACGATGCATGGCCCGCTGTAACGTTGGCCCGAAACATTGTTCATCTTCACGATGAGTTGAAACTCAAGTCGACCCCACCACTTGAACTTATAAGATTCGTCCAGGGCCAGAACTTGCAATCTTTCGCAGCACGTCTCGAGGAAATGCATAGAGTTGAGGGAACCCAGTATGGGGCCGTCCGCACAAACACTAGGACGAGACCATCATCTTGGGTTACAAAGAAGCGCTACCAAGAGGATCAGGAAGCTGTCGAGGAAGACAAGGGGGGGAAGCGAAGAAAGACTAAGAATTAGGTAGTGAGATACGATTTGGGGAAGAAAGGGCTGCATGGAATATCATGGGAAGAATGGTCAAAGAATGATAGGTGATCATTTATTTGGAGGGACAAATGGAGAATTTGAAGTGAAAGTTTGAACTGAAGAGCACTTTCGGGCTCGATTCTAAAAACGGGCAGAGAGATTTTGAAAAATACCCTGTGGCAACTGGAGAAGATAATGTTTGAAATGGATATGACAGACTGAGATTTGAGATTGTCTCTATGGAATACCTGGGACATGGAAAGTCCACAATCAAGGGTTAGAAGTTGTTTTTTAGTTAGTTTCTAGGATCATGGAAGGCCTACATCATTCAAGATAGCATTAGGCACAAATTCTGTGGCAAATGATCATTTATCTCAAAATTCAGCATGTGTAAAAAGGATGTGACAAGTCTTCTGAAGAATATAATGCGTTACCACTAACAATAGTATTCAGCTTTCGATTGTTAACAACTTGTCAGAATTAACAAACAGCGTTTTCCTCCAACTAACTTCTGTTTGATCTTGTTTACTGGAATCTGGGATCGTGAAACTACTTGAAAGTTGGATCAGTGTCATCTGAGGTTGGCTACTTTTCACACTGTTAACGCACATTTACTATAGAATACTTTTGTTTCGAGAATAGATGATCGGCTTAAAAGTACTTATGACTGGTGTCTATTTGAAGAATATGAGTCTATAGTTGTTGAAGCAACATTAAAGAATTAATTTTAATTTGTCAAACTTTTCATTCTTTTGCTTGCCTGGTTCTTCCCTCGGCAATTTTGAGCAAAGATGTTTGCCTGCAAGTGAAAGCTACTAGCTGCTGTAAAACTGGTCAATCGATGTAATGGATTATTAGCTTTGACTCTTCACAAGTGAGATTTCTGTTTACTATAAGATTGTCGTTTGATGCTTTACCAGGAGCTCTCAACTTTCTTTAACCCAAATTCATTTATACTCCACATGTCTGGATTAACGCCCACTTTCAAGCCCAGCTTGACTTTTCTTTTAACCTTTGGATTGATAGGTATGACTTTGTTAATACATATATTATCAAGACTCTTGACGGCAACTTTAATTAAATCTAGCCAAAGCTGATAAAGCATGATCACCAAAATTGTGCACTAGAACTGGATTCACACATCTCGCAGAAGTGTTAACTGGCATCTCTGCTTTAATTCCATTCAATCTAACCAGTGAATAACTTTCAATTCCAGGATGGCTTATCTCGCCTCGGATATCCCCGGAGCTCAAACTCTCTCATCTCCCACTAAGAAACAAAACACTCCAGATTCATTGCCTAATCTTCAAAATTTCAAGTAATAGAAAAATGGCAGGAAGCTTTGAGAGACTGTAGCAGGGGATTAATATTTTTATCAAACATCCAAAATGACACACAGAATTCCCTTAGGAGTGATTCGAAAAAATCATGTTGGCAAAGTAATGGAAATCTAAACCACTAGAGCAAATTCCTGTCATAAAATACACTTTGAAATTTAGTTCCTTCTTCCTCATACAGTGGCTGATTTTCCTTGAGATAGGCTGTATAAATTCCTGTTTTTTTCACTCTCATTATTAGAATCATCATTTGGTCAGATAGTGACTATGACTAGAGAGTGTTATATAGCGCCGCTGTACTTTATCCAGTCGGTAGCTATATCTACCTACCTAGGTACCTAGGTATACAAAATTCAATCATTTCAGCAACATATAACTTTCTTGAATATGGTTGCATTTGGTTTTTAAATTCTATTAAAAATATACAATAAAAATATTACAATAATCAATTTTCATATATTAAATCGAATTTACTATATTTTTTACAATTACTGCCAGAATATTGAAGTGAAATAATGGAATTCTATCGAGAAAAAGCCTCATGACCAAATCGAAGTAGTCTAGTCTAGAACTGTAGTAAGTAGCCCAGTCAGTATATCGATACCGCTTCCCATAATTTGAAAATGTATATATACTTGAACAAGTTGCACTTGAACCTTTTACTCAATTCATCATACAAAATACATCTTAATTGTGGTCTTTTATACATTGCAACTATTCTATTTACTCCACGAGTCAGTCTTCGACTCCATCAGGAATCTCAGAAACTTTTTGATTAAGTCAAGCTCTTTCACCACCTTCAATCACAGAACAAGCCGTTCCCCAAGAACAACTTAAGATATGACCTCCAGTTCCTCGCAGGTCGTAGGACCTAAATCAAGCCCGTGCTTCAATTATCAAGCACCAATACCAAATAATACAGGAAGAAAGGATGGATACTTGATCTTGCCAAACTTTAACACATCTACTGGCCCAATCAATCAAAAATTGGCTATCATAAAGAATTCAGAATGTCCAGAGCTACTCAAAGTAGCAGGGCACACAAGCATCGCAGAAGATGAAGCTGCTTATTGCCATGAGATGTTTTATAACCAGCCATATTACGTCGCATCAGGACCCAAAGACAAAGATCCTGTCTTTACTGCGCAATTCTTCGGAGAGAGAGGTGTCAAGGATATTACACCCGCATACGAAGCCATGAAGGAGGCTCGCGAAATAGCACACCGAAAGAGCACGGATCCAAACTCCCGAGAAGATATATCGGAATTCGAGCAGCGAATGATTGGTGGCTCTAAGAAAAAGATTCTTCAAAAGAGGTCATATGTCCAAGGCTTCACGGTAACACAGCAGAAGGACGCGATCTGTGCCGCACAGTTAAACGCAGCGATAATCGAAAATGTCGAGTTGACTGGAAGACTCAACCAGCTTGTCGCAATAGCTGCTGGCAACCTGCTAGCGAATTGTGCGCCAAAAGAAGTATTAGAACGTCTTGCCAAGCAGGCAGAGTCTGCTGTTCCTATTACATTTGGGCATGAAGATAACAGATTCTTCTGTAAGTACCACACTTCGTCTGTCGACTTCTGTGAATATCGCTGACTATTATTAGCAACTGTCCAATACAACTACTCCGGTACAGAGATAGCATCATTAGAAATGAGCCTTGGTAATTTTGGCGCTCTGCATATCGATGGAAATGACGACTCAGCACTGTGGACGGTGCTATTAGTATTGTCAAATATACCCGAGAGCTACTGGCCTGGCCGGACATTTGTATCTTCACTTCGATTATATGCGACGATGGCACCGATGACTGCATTGGTATTTAAGGCGGTTCATCCCCATATTAGTTTGGGTCCAATTCCCATGGGCGAATCTAAGCGTCTGCGGTATGCATACCTGCCAGGAAACACCCATATAATGGATCCCGTACTCTATAATCAAAGCAGGTTAGTGGCCGTGTGCTACCCTAAGGGAACAGTCATGCGCGAAACTCCTGCCCTAATCCGTCGCTCGACGCCAAAAATCCTTCGAACGATCAAAGGGGTTCGCAGCAGCTTACCGGAAGCACATCCGATAGCAATTGCGGCTTTCGGAACGTTGAGGAATCAGATGGAGTTTTTGGCAAGATTAGAAGCTCATGATAAGGTCAAGATGAACCGCATTAATCCATCTTTGAAGATGCCCACGGCAGGCTTATTTGTGCAGCTGTGGAGCTGGGAGGAGAATGGTGTTACTATGACACCGAGGATTTCTCGAATTCAGGCTGTTTTAGACGGTGATGGAGACATCAAAGAGTGGTATAAGGGCTACTCGAAAAAGTGCGATGCTATTCTGTCGATGAGGTGGTTTGATGGCAATAAAAAGACGGAAACTAATTGGGTATCTACCGAAAATATTGGGTCGACATTTGCTCATTTAGATCCCCTCGCATCAACTGCTGCTAAGCCTCTTGAAGAATTCAGCAAGTGGGCCAGGAAAACTAATAACCTTCCAGCAATCAAGCGAAACTATGGCAAACTTCCCTATCTATGCCCCAGCTGCGAACTGAGATTTTCTACCAAACAAAGGGTCAAAATTCATCACGACCTTGCACACATGAACACATATGAGTGGCAAATGCCCCAGCCATCAGTTGATCCAGCCCATCAAGAAAGGAATAGCGAGTTTGATGAAGAAGGAGAAGAACAACTCGCCGAGAAGGCTGGTCTAGAGGACGAGGAATGTTCGGGAGAAGAGGGACCTGTTTCGAAAAAGAGAAAGAGTTGAAGCGCCAAGAAGAGTTAGTTTTCGGCGTCAGATGACGGCGGATTGGCAGTAGTAACACAGCAAATCTTGAATCAGACAAAAAAAAGAGCTTATGTTTGAGAAAGTTCATGATATGAGATTTCGAACATACTAAAATGTATCCCGATACTATCAGGCATCTGATATTGTGTTAGCAAGCGGATTTGTAATTTTGCAATACCATAAAACCCCAAGTATCATAAAAACTACGTTTTGGTGTGCTATAGACCATTCATTAGGGAGCTCGAAGCTCACCGTGGATTTTTTAAATGTTTAAACTTTTATTGTATAGACTACCTACACAGACATCCTGCCAGTCTTCGATGAGAGATACTATTTTCTGATTACACCAAGCATGATGAGGTATGACGCTCCTCCATGTTAGCTTTTACTTTGTGGTTGTGGTAACATATTAAGAACACTACCGTATATATTCTTCAACTGATGTAGTATCCGGAACTTGGATAGTATACACGGATATCAAATGAAATCAACCTGGCAGATGAGCGAAGTTTGTCAGAAAGAGCCTGCTGATAGCTTATATTAGAAATTGTATAGAGAAGAGGCAGGTACGGTAGACAGAATCGTATGCAAATTCAACTCTTCAGATAATAACTAATAATGATTCATAGTCACTTCACTGGAAGTGGACATTCACAACGATATCATCCAGCGAAATATGGTAGAACTGTGTGTACGGCTTTCTGAATCAAGCCTCTGCACGGTGATTTCATCCATATACGCTCTACAGTCAAGCTGGAAAACAGCTTGTACATAGCATGAACTTGATTTGATCCACAGATACCCATATAAACCTTCACGACCTTCTCAATTATAACACAAACTATAAAGCCATCTGCCAGAACAGATAACTTCACCAAACAATAAACAGAGAAACAACACACATAAAATCACAACATCCATTCAGTACCAGATCAACTCACATCGAACGAGAACTACCTCCGCCAACTCAAGTTAACGAATCACATTCAACCGAGTAAACCTAATCCAACTCCAATAGATTGAACCAGACAAACAGATCAGATATATCAGATAGTCCAAAATGCCTGCAGATTGGCGAACTGATAGATCTGGAAACGTGAAGGGGTTTATTAGGAGAAAAGGCGACCCAAACCCAATGAATTGGGGATATAAAGTCGATGATAAAGTTTTGAGCCATCCAAAGGCTGGTATGATCAAGACGGATGTATCTAAGCCCAAGAAAGACGATAAATGCAAGAGCTGTGAGAAGAAAAAGGAGAAAGAAAAGAGTAAGAAAGAGAAGAAGAACAGTGCCGGCGGCTGTGTTGTATCGTAGGGGATCTTGCAGATATAGGGAGGCTTTGGATCATGATGATGTTGGTCGTTGGCTTTGGGATAAGAAACTTGAGTGAGGATGGTTCGGAGGAATGTAGAGGAATTGGAGAATGGGAGAATGGGAGAATGGGATAAGGTCGTCTGCCTGTGCATTATCGCAAAGGGATTGGAGTTTGAGACTAGATCGTTGGGTTTCTGACTGGTATGTCCGAATTATAAACATGGGTAAGCTCTTTGAGCCCCCTGTTTCGTGGGGAGACATATCCTAGTGTTAGTAAACACGTACAATAACAGGAACATACTTTGTATTTGCGCTAATCGCATATATCACGACATTTTGTTTCATAATTCACGAGGGCAGTGTGTCGTTGGAGGGAACGATGGGTTACAAAGTGCATCGCTAATCTAATTAATCGTAAGGGCCCTACCGCCCATATCGCTCGTAAGGACCCTGTTGTGTGTCAGAAATGATTGATTTGGTATGCAATAACAAAATAACCCTAACCGAGAATAAAGTCAGAAAAGTCAGACTCTTTGATTCGTGGGAGGTCTCGAGACCATCCAAACAACCAATAATGTGGCGCTTTGTCACATACTCTATCCTATTTATTATTCGCTGTGAACTCGGAAATAAAAGATTCACATCACAGCTCTACTAAATACCTTCGAATCCTGATGAATCATATATAAAGAACTTCTTACTTCAAATGCTGCAATTGAGAGATTATACATACCATCTTTACGTTTACATCTCTAACTTCTTCACCAAATATTGAAACCTACTTGCTAGTCAAAACGTCTTGCCACGAGGCCCCAGAATCGACTCAATATGCCTGTTGCAGATGTCTGTAAACTCGGGACTTGTCCACTCGAATATGGAATGGTACATTACCATCCTACTCTTTTTGGAAATGTATTTTACCTCGGAATATTTGCTGCTCTTCTTATCATTCACATCATGCAACTATGGCGTTGGAAAGCATGGAGTTTTTCGTGCTGTATGCTTACCGGTCTTGTCCTCGAAATAATTGGTTATCTTGGCAGAATTCAGATGCATTATGATCCGTTTGCTTCGAACCCATTCTTGATGCGCGTCTTTCAGTTATAACCACAGGTTACATCCTGCTGACTATCAATAGCTACCTGATTTGCGTAACAACCGCGCCCGTTTTCTTTACAGCATCAATATACATGACCTATTCTCGCATACTTCTCCACTATGGGCCACATTTGTCGAGATTTAGCCCCAAGGCCATCTCTGTCACTTTCATGGCTGCCGACTGGGTTGCACTTATCCTCCAAGCAGCTGGTGGAGCGATTGCAGATACCGCTGCGACAAAAGCCGGGATGAACAGTGGGACAAATATCTTGGTCGCAGGGTTGAGCTTTCAAGTATTTGGCTTGACCCTGTTTATGATAACAGTTGTAGAGTATGCCTCCAAAGTAAGTGGGGAGAGAACTCGAAGACAAGCAGCAAACTGGGCGGCAGGCGAAGATGAAATAGGGGCAAGCGAAAGAAAAATGAGGTATCTCTGCTATGGTATGTTAAATTCCGACTTTTGTTTCTTAATCGTTTTAATATTTCATCACCTCCATTGTCCCGAACATCCGACTTACAATTCCCTTATAAATCCTCTTCAAATCTCCGCCTTAAACTGGAGACTAACCGCACGACCTGATGTGCTTGCAGGTCTTACTGTGGCAACTGTCCTCATCCTTATTCGTTCAATATTCCGTGTGGCCGAACTTGCTAAAGGATTTCAGTCGAAGCTTGCCAATGAAGAGATTCCTTTCATGATAATCGAGGGAGCAGTTATGATATCGGCAACCACAATTATGACGATATTTCACCCCGGATTAATTATCAAGGGGAAGTGGAAAGAATCCGGTTGGGAATTGAAGGGATGGAAGAATGGGCGAAATTGATCAAACGCAGGGGTGAAGGGGAATATAGTGTGATGTGAGTTGGACGGAGTATCAAAAACTTATGCCAGATATAAATCTAGAATGTTTCAGATAAAGCATACTGCCGATAACGCTTCAATGGATATGCTATTGACTTTGCTGAGAAAGGTGATACCGGTATATTTTGATAGCAGTGAAATGATTGTTATTTTTCAACTCAATACAGCATAGTTAGTTGCAGGACTTGTAAAGACACAACACTCGTAGGAAGATCCAGATTGAAATCACAACGAGAAGAAACCGAAGTGAATTATGTGAGAAAACGCTTACTTGAAATGGTCTAGCTTGAGGCTAGCGGCCGCATCATTTGACACCCGAATATCGAAGATTTTTCCCCCTATGATGTAGAAAGAAGCATCGTATTAAATAAGCAGACGGCCCATGAATATTTGTCGAATAGTTGCTCCAGCAAGAAAGACCTTGAGAATAGGCAATTTTAGAAAGAGCAAAGCTTGTAGTGGCCAGCTGTATCGATCGAGAGAAAGGACCACCCCACACGTGACTATGGATGGTCCAAGTCATGTAGGTCTGGCCTGGAATTTGCTTGATGGCTCTAACAATCTAGCAGGGTCATCATGGTCATGATACGCATGCAATGCCCCCACAGGCAATTTGCGATGCTTACAAAAAGTATCAGAGGATGAGTGACGCGGCAGTGAACGATGATCTCGAAATCGTGGATTTCACCCGTGGCTTGACTCCCGGGCAGCAGGAGAAGTTGAGTCCGGTGGGTATAGTTCCCTCGGAATTGATTGCTAAGGCGCAAAAGGAATTCATGAACACTAAAGCCGAGGACGAATCTGGCTTTTCTGCGGCATGCACTATTTATGAACACAGCGGATTCCCGGGTATACTTGACTCAAACACTCGTGGAAAATAATTAGCTAACTTTTATACAGGATTAAGAATATTCCCTGCACTCCTTCCACCAGAAACTCAGTCTTTATTTGTGTCCCGACTTCTCCATCGTGAGCTGTCGAACCCTCTTCACAAGACGAACTTTCACGATGATTATGATATACCCTACCCTCCACCTGACTCTTCCTTCTTCACTTATCCTCATCAAGCCAAGAACCAAGTCTTTGCCCCTAAAGATCCAAACTCAAAATATAAACCGCTCAATGCTGCACAAGCTCTTCAAAAGAAATTTAGATGGCTAACACTGGGCTCTCAATATGATTGGAACACCCGAGCTTACCCATCTTCTTCTCCAACTCCATTTCCAACTGATTTTTCTCGTCTTGTTACCACATTATTTCAAAATGCCTTTACTCCCGAATCAGGAGTTGTCCTAATGTACTCGACTAAAGATTTCATGCCGGTGCATAGAGATGTTTCCGAGGAATGCGAGAGAGGCCTAGCGAGCTTCACGCTCGGGTGCGATGGGCTATTTGTTATCAGTAGAGACGTAAGAAAAGGAGAGGAACACATCGATAACAGGGAACAAGACTTGGTTTGCATCCGGGTCAGGAGTGGTGATGTGATACAAATGGGTGGAGAGACGAGATGGGCTTGGCATGCTATGCCCAAGATTATAGCAGGCACTTGTCCACCTTGTTTAGAAACATGGCCCGTAGGATCTACGGAAGAAGGGAAAGAACCAAAAGAGTATGAAAGATGGAGGGGTTACATGAAGGGTAAGAGGCTAAATATCAGCTGTAGGCAAGTGTGGAATTAATTTTGCAAATCTGCTTTGATCACGATAAGTGTTGTATCATCTGTACCATGACCACGTTATGTCCTGGCTGATTTTGGCCGAGCTATGGGTGATACAATACAGACCAACATCAATCTTCTGAAGCTGCTGTGGCCCGTACTATTTATACGGTTCACATCTTCATGTCTGCTATTTTGATACTTCAGCCTACGGTCAATCGATCTTCAGAAGTTATACGGCATATGGTGATATGATTTGTCATTCTGTCGTATAGTCCATTTCTCTTTTTACATATAAGGTTCCCTCCTCTCCACCGACCCGTCATTTCTTCTACATGTGATCTTGATATCTCACCATCACAAACATCGGCTTTATTGGTAAACCAATCAATTTAATTTCCAGGAATTCTCACGATGCCTACCAAAATCGGTAAAACATTCACAACCTTTCGAAAGCTCCCACTCGAGCTCCGTCTTATCATCTGGGGATTGGCAAAGCCAGCTGGTCGAATCATCGACCTTGATCTACTCGAAAGATCTACCGTCAAAGAAGAATGGAACTTGGCTCGATCTCCCCAAGCTCCTGATCAGTCTGACGACGCAGAGAACGGCGACGAAAATTCGGTCAGATACAACAGGTTATGGGGCTTCAAATCCAACGCTCCGATTCCAGCACTCCTACTCGCGTGCCGTGAGTCGCATAGAGTCGCATCGAAGTGGTATCCGCGAGTCTTTCAATGCTATGCTGACGACCCGGAAGCATTGCGATTCCCTCCTGCCATTCAAGGACCAGGTTCAGTCTCACTCCCACAGACGTACTTCAATTTTGAGAATGATACACTCTTCATCACGCCCGACACGTTTCGTCCCAGATTCAATGCTGAAATTGACGCAGTAACTAGACGCTTCTATAATCTCGCACAAGTCCCAGAACATACTATATCTGGGGTCTCCCGGCTGGTGTATGATCCAGATTTCTCAAGAATTAAGAACCTTGCTATTCAATTGACTTCCGATCAATGGAATCTCGACTGGGACGCTCATGCTGAATGGCTGGCTAGATTCCTGGAGCGTGGATTTCGCGACCTCAAGACGCTTACCGTTGTGGTTGATCATCATCTTCTATCCCCTCGCTGGATAGAAACGCAGGGCGTGAAGATGTCGAAAGAAGAAAGAGCAAATCTTGTATATATGGATAAATTAATCGATGTCCAGGATGCTTGCCGCTTCTACCGCCCCGATCGTTTTATTCTCGAGCATGAAAAAAGAGAGTGGACAAAAGCAAAACCTAATGCCTCTTGTTTCACACAGAGCCATATCAGAAAATTGACTCAACACATGATGGAAGTTCTCAGAGAAGAGCACATTAAAGCTGGTAAATTGATGTGGGATCTGCCAGAGATACAATTTAAGATTGTCCTTCCCGCGAAGATTAAAGAAAACTTACGTCGGAACATGCGGCGATACAAAGAGAGATTTGCTGGTTGGCAAAGAGAAGCTGCTTCTGAGTCGAGAGTAGAGAGCTTCCGAGTCGAGAGAAGGGGGAGATATATCATGAATTAACAATACTCGCCAATGATTACTACAAGTCAGGATGACGGTAGATGTGGGGGCGTTTTGTGGACACATTGGGTTGTGAAGTGGTAAGATCATCACAGGATTTCATATGGTAGATGAGTTGATGATTGTTAGGTCTTGAGATAGTGATTTCGATATTATCATAGTTTCAACAATATGCACAATATTCTCAAACTTTTTGGAGTTTTCGGACCTAAAATGAATGAAATGTGAAAATAACTTGGGTGAAGATACTGTCAATAAGTTCATAGGTTCTGAACTTTTCCAGAACGAAGATGAGATTAGAGGTATCTTTCATCCTCTTCATGCTTGGTGGTAGCAACGCCAACACGCAGTTGGTAATCCTCAGCTCCACGTTCTTGTCTCTTTCTGTATCAGATGATTACTGCTGAATTCAATGAAGGACATAAAGCTTGAAATGAGACAAAGTTTGGCCTATAATGAAACCGTGTAGTGTTAGTTTCTCGGTGCCGGAAATGTCTGGATTCGTACCCAGCATACTCTATCTGAAATCATCGACTTAAAATCCAATACTAGCACATTAGCCGACATTTTTATACAAATCTTCCAGCTATTCTTCAAATGGATCGCCGACTTCGGTCAAACATTCCTTTATGCTGTCGAGAGTTGAATAACAATAGTAGGTAAGAAATGGTGCTGAGTAATTGGCTCTTATTGTCTTATTTTGCCTTCACCTCCGCACTTTCTATAATTGTCTCCCGGGAAGCCAAGATTTCGACACCAGGAAAAGCAAGCTTAATCTCAGCATCTACTTTCATATCGCTTAAGTGATTGTATGCACGTATTGTAGAGCCAAGTGCGATGTTGGTATTTCAATGCCCTGATAGGGACTAAAAAATCATCACCCCCGAGTTTCCAAAAGTTGGATACTAGAATCAAACAGAGATGCTAGTGAAGATAATTGTGGGAGTTGATATCGAACAAATATAAATTAGTAGACGGTATTCCTATCCTGTTTCAGAGCAAGCTGTACTCCTCAATTAGGCCGGGAACCCGGGCTCCTTTGTGGCAAGTTCTCACTTGGTTAGTTCGACAACTGAAAGGATTAATATCATTACTACTGATCTTTGGAAATTGCGTATAACATCAGTCCTTGGATCAAGGATTCTGGGTGCTGACTGTTCACGGTTTTGATGAGAGTCACGATAGCGATTTGGTCTCCTACTTTGAAAGATTGCCCCGAGAAATTCCTCCCCACTTCTGCTATGCGCACTTAGTCAATTCGGTCTTTGTAGGGGACAATATTTAGTTGTGTAAAGGGTGCAGCTACCTGATTATAGCTATGCCGGTCTCACTGAGTTGATGTCGGATCTATACAAGCATTGCTTTTCTTTTTGTAGATGCTACGGACGTTGTACGTCATATTATTGCGAAGTGTATTTAACATTTTTTCTAATTAGATAGGCATCTAGCTTTCTTTTAGTATTATTGAATAGGAATGCTTCAAACGTAATTGATTTATCGCAGTATTTAGTTGCTGTGTTGTTATATTTAATAAGTTCCTTCCATTTTTCTGTTCATGCAAACGCGAGCTTTACGATAAGGCTTAGCGAGATGCCCCCTGTTGAAGCTTTTCGGGACCGAGTAGAGCTTTGGAATTGGATGAAAATTCGAGGGTGGAGAATCAGGACATCCGTTAAAATGGACCACTATAATCATGTTTCCTAAAAATACCAATAGGAATCAATTGGTTGGATACCAAGCTTTGAAGCAAACTTTTGGTTCCCGAACATGAGTGAGCATGAAGTTGAAGGAGAGGCTTGGAACTAATGACGACTTTGGAGGCTTTTCCACTTTTGTTGTTGTCGTTGTTCCCAGGGTGATTAATGTCAAACTGTTTTATGAAATCGATTAGAACTTCTAGAAGTAGTCAGTTTGACTGTGTTTAGAGGCAGTAAAATCCTTCTGTGTGGTATCTTCATGATGACGTGAGTCAACCTTTCTGATTCCAAAGTCAATTCTTACCAGACATAGTGAGCATGAATTGCTATTAATCCCTCATATTAGCATGGTTGAGATATGTAGCAAGTGTGCTAGTATCGAGCTGGAGTTTCAGAATCCAGGATTTTGAGAAGCTTCCTTCTTAGATCGGCTTTGCTTGTGTTTGTTTGTTTCCACAAATCTCTTTTTTGAAATTTTGATCAGCAAATATTAGATTCAGAGCGCTCTTATATGCTATGGAACAAAGTACTCTCGAAAAGAAAAATGTCAGAAGCACTGGATCTCGTTCGCATACCGGCTGCATAACCTGCAAGTAGTTGAATGATCCAGTGAGCATCTATCGCTCTAGTTCGTCGCAATTCTACCTTGTTGTGATTCTGATCTCATAATTGGATCAGGTCCGAGGGTTGAATGCAACGTTAAGTGAGAAATTACCCTTCCGTATCAACACTAAAAGAAGCTTTGGAAACTGACGAAAACTTCAAATGTAGAATTCGGTGCGTTAAATGCGATGAGACAAAGCCCTGCTGTCAAAGATGTCAGAAATTTGGCCGTATGTGCAATGGATATGATGAACACAAGAGCGTTAGTTTTAGTTACAAACGAACTCAAGGAGAATTTCTCCTCGAACAGAGACTAAGTAGTCATCACAAACAATATAGGTACCCAAACCTTTACCACTTTCATTTCGAATCACACTCCTTGGAGATCAAGAAGCAATGTATTTTTTAATGTTTCAACCCGAGGCTATAAATAGCCTTGAAAATGACCGCGAATCACCACTTTGGCATGGAATAGTGAGACGTGCGTGTGTGGAAGAACTATCTATCTTTCATTGTGCCATAGCCATCGCTGCTCTGGATAGAGCATGTAAGCTGAGGGTGTCGAATTCCTCGTCGAACTTTGAGTTTCATCACTGTTATGCACTTCAACAATACGGAAAGGCGCTCAAAGAATTGCAGAAAGTGATCGCTCGAGGCCACTCTTATATTTGCGCAACCCTGATTTCATCTTTACTCATCTTTTGTTTCGAATTTTTTTATGGGGACGTCTGACTTGCCATAAACAATGTCAGAGCGACGATAGATCTCATGTACAATTGGACCTCCAATCAGACAAATACTAATACCCATATTGGTTTTAGTCCCGCACCGCATATCCTCGAACATGAAGTGGTTGAAGCATTCGCTCGTCTAGATGCGCATCTCGTAAATGTATGTATAACTTGGGTCATCCTGACACGATCTTCATACTTGATATCACTCAAATAAAGGCACAGTCCTATTGACATTCTTGTTTTCTAGTTGATTGGCGTTTCTCGATCTTCATGCGATGTCATTTCTCTCGTTTCCCCAGATTCTTTTGACGCTCTACCAATCGCAAACATCTTTACGTCCCTCAGGGAAGCGAAATTTTCTTTGGACAACATCATATCTCGACTTTTCCCGGACAGAATTTCCGGCCCAATTGAGCCCTTACTGACAAGCATTTCCCAATGCGCCATTCCAGAAGCCTCCGAGCCTCCTTTTGCAAAAGAACTGAGATCCTGCACATCCTCATTTCAACCAATTTTTGATGTCTCCCAATCCCGAATTGGCAGATCCAAAAGATCATAACGAATTTATCCCTGCCGGAACCTTGCGCTGTCAATGTTTAAAACTGAAAATCGTCTTCTGGTCATCAAATTATTCTCATCTGAACATCGAATCATACAATCCACCCTATTACCTCCCATCTCAAAGAGCCATCCAATCATCTCCCCAATTTGCGGGGGAAAAAAAGATAAAGAAGCACACAAACTTTTGATTCCAGTGTATTCCGAGATAATCACCACTTTCCGAGCCATAGTCAACCGTCCAGCATTTGTCAAATCGTCTATTTTCGGATGTGGTATTCTATCTCAACTTTTTGTTGTAGTATGTAAATGTCCAGATGAAATGATAAGACGAGAAGCAATACAGATATTGAAGGATGCTAGAGGAAGAAGAGAAGGAATTTGGGATGCGAAGACTGTGGGACTTGTTGGTGCAGATATATTGAGATGTGAAGCTTTTGATGAGCATGCAAAGAGCCAGAATCAGGATAATGTTTCTTCTACTGGAGACCATTCAGGTAAGAAGAACATCGTCTGGAAAGACACATCAGCCTGAGATGATTGTAAATATACACGTCAAGGGATTCGATTGCAGAAACCCATAAAGTGGGTCGGAGTCCACTTCACATATCTGGGGATGAATATGAAGTTACCGGTACTGAGGCGGGAAGAAGTGACGAGTAACAAGGAAGGAGTCGAGAATGCTTGGGAGAGATATAACGATGAGGTCGAGGAAATGCATCTGCTGGATTGGGTGGAACAATTTCTTGGTCCACGCGGAGATAGTTTAGTTTCGGGATTCGTTTGTCTATGATTTCTTGGAGTAGTATGGAATTGGATTTCTGGAGTTATGGAATCACCGGTTGGCATAAAGCTGATAATACGTGATTTGGGGTTGGTGTTTTTGGAAGTTTAGAGATTCTATGTATTGCTCGGAGCATCTAACAATAGACAAAAACCAGAGCAGGCATAGATTCTCTTAGAATATTCGAATCACAGATACGTATCTTGCGCCGTGACTAACGAGATATAACTGAATAAGTCATCTGATGCTAGGCGAGGGGCTGTCACTTGCATCATGATGACCCGCACTAGCACCTGACATTTCATCCCAATAGTTGAGACTATACCAGCTGTACCTACGTCATAGTTCAGACGACACATATACGAAATCAGTTTCAGGTATATATCATATGAGTTCTATCGAGCCATATCTACCTCTGCTCTGTTGGTGATCGTACTCTGGTTTCAGCGTATGAACACAGGACGGTGCTAATGTGATAAGAATACAAGGGCGGTGAAAGTCTATAACCTAATAATATGTGTATATGTCCCAAGTATGTGATGGGTTTGTTTCTAGGTAGATTGCCAATGATTTAAGATACAATCACAGGTAGTACTTCATGCGATACTCAATGTAACCGACGATATTGATGTTGATAAGGAATGCCAAGTCTTTTCTCCAAGGTAATGTGCCGCTAATTTTTAGGCTTCACGCTAAGAAGCACCCGCCACTACCATGACCATGACCACCTACTTACGACATCATCCCTAATGACAACAAGACTGAATATCTGAACCTATACAAATACAATCACAATATATACACTTACACTACCAACTTACATTCACCACAAGGAATCGAAACTTGTATTCGATAAACTGCGATAACCATCAACGCCAAAACATTCCTTGAACTGGGGAATTGCAACTTGTCTGTCCCACATTTCTCAGCTCCGCAATTCTTACATACATCAAGAATCATGATGTCCACCGCACTTATAACCACAACTCCCACCTCCTCATTTCTTAGTCTTCCTTCCGAACTACGTCTGAAAATCTGGTCTAATCTCCTTCCCGGTCCTCGTACTCTTCCAATCCGCTGCTCTCGAATCCACAAATCTTATTACACTCCTGTTCCCACTTCCGTCCTCCTATCTATCTCTTCCGAAACGCGAACTCTATTTCTCGAACACTATTCTCTCCTCCACCTAAACACCTCTTACGACTCCACTATATACATAAACTTCGCCCTTGATACACTTTGTTTTGACCACGAAGAATGTTCACCTATCGGAGATTTGGCCATGGATTTTAAAACTTGTGCGCAGAAGGATTTGATTGAGAGAGTGGATATCGATGTACATTTATGGGAAATTATGCGATTATTTCGATTTGATGCTTTGGCGGAGATCAGCCATTTATATGGACTGAAGAATTTGACATTTGTTTTGAGGGAATCTAACGTCGATACGAATAATGAAGAGGATGAGGCTAATAATATGAGGGCGAGGACTAGGGATGTATGGGGAGGAAGGATGTTAATCGAGGGGCAGACAATGGATAGAGAAATTGCGCAATGTCAGTGGTATGTTTCGATGGTAAAGTGGGAGGTGGAACATGGGAGTCATCAATGGACGGACTGTAAACCGAATGTGCAGATGCGCATTATATGAGGAGAATAAGATGGTTGATGAGACGAGTACGAATGAATAAGGATAGCGGGGATTGCATCTTATGGAGGTTTGCAGTATTAAGACTAACAATGTCCGAAATTCACGAGGTGTGAAAAACGTTACACAAATCTTTACGAGTATACGAATATGCGAAGACATCCGATCTAGGATTACATTGGGAGAATCATGTCACGCCGCTCATGGAATCTGTATAAAAATTTCAGTGTTACCATCTCCGCAGAAACAATGAAACCTGGATTTTCAGACCTACCAACACATCCACAGATGTGATGTATCAAAATGCGAAATGAACCATCAGGCTAGCCTTTTATCCAGTCTCTCGAATATTCGGCTCTCATAACAATATCTTCATTGTTTGTACAGACTTCCGGCATTTTATCAAGGGAGCTTTTCTCTTTTGATGGATCTCTATATCACCGTCAACCCACATCATTTCACACCAAAGACCATCTAGGATATACATCACGTCTGTCAAATTACATAGGGGAATATCACTCACCTAGCAAAGGATCTCTTGATAAAAGGACAAGGTATATCCGCAGGACTGGATAGAACTGGTTCGGTTACCTAGGTAGAGGTAGTAAATAGCTTTCTCAAATATCCACACCTATCAACCCCTCAAACTTTATCGGTACAATAGCATGAGTGACCTCAGTGTGAATAGAAGAATCTAGCTTCGGTTGTATATCTATGTAGGTACCTAGGTAGGTAGGTATATAAAATAACATTTATATCAATGAAACTCAGGTATTCTTAAGTTTAAGCACCTTTCAGATTATTGATATGATAATAATCTCAAAATATTCAACAATATCAAGGCTGGACTATAATCTAATGATTAATAAAGATTATTAGATCTACAAATCTGTAATATGATATTAGAATACTTAGGTAGGTATTTAAATCCTTATTGGTGGACTATCTAGGTGTCTAGGTGTAATCCGGGTTATTGGATAAGTACTCTCTCTATTCTGTTGTTGATATTGATAATCTTGTGTGTATAATATTAATATTGATATAGGTATACATAAGTACCTATTTATATCTGTAAATGTGTAAATTCTAAAATAAAATAAAATAGAAGAGAAGAGAAGAGAAGAGAAGAGAAGAGAAGGAAAGAAAAGAAACATGACCTTGTAGATTCTAGATTCTGGGTAGCTTGGTAGCTACTTAGGTAGGTAGGTAAGTAGGTAGTTGGGTAGTTGGGTAGGTATATGTATGGTGGATGGTATGTGGATGGTATGGAGATGTGATGGATGGATGGATGGCATAGGGTTTGGGAGGGAGATTAAGTGAATGGTTGAGTGGATACTGTGTAAGTTGTAAGTTTTGGTTTGGGTGTGGGTTATATGTTTAGGTTAGATGTATGAATTTATGAGAGGGATTTCCTTGACGATTGAATGGTGTGTAGCTATATATATTTGAGAAGGTATTTAAACTATCCAACCCCAACCCCCTACCCCCCCTCAATAACTCATCCCCTCTCTCTTCACCTCCCCCAAAAATCTCTCCACAATCCGCAGCACCTCCTCCGGATTCTCCTGCATAACCCAATGACCAGCCCCCGCCACCACTTTCGAGCCTTTAAACCGCGTGCATCTTGTTCCCATCTGTTCTAATACCCCTGGTTCCTGATACATGCCCCAGTCTTTTTCTCCACTGATAAAGAGCATTGGGACATCTAGTGTTCTTCCTGCGAAGAGCGCAAGGTCTTGGGTGTAATAGGGTGATGTGATAACGCGGTACCAGTTTAACATTCCTTGGAAACCGGTGCGCGCGTATTCGGAGGCGTAGACGGCGAGGGCGGAGGGGGGCAGCCAAGTTTCCATTTGGGCGAGGGAGGAGGGGGGGATGGATTGCATGTGGGTTTGGATGATGGAGCGCATGGAGGAGTGTAGGGGCATGGTATAATAAGGGGGGAGGTGTTGGAGTTCTTCTGCGGACCAGGATTTGAGGGGGTGAGGGGTGTTGCCGCTCCAGTGTCCGGATTTGAGATAGAAGTAGCCGTGTAGGAAGGAGGGGAGGGTGGAGAGGGGGGAGGAGAGCTCGCTGGCGGCGTGGGGGGTGGAGTAGTAGGTTTTGTAGTGTTTGAGGGGGGTGGGGAGCTGGGAGAGGCTGGTGTGGATGTCTTCTGTGGGGGTGGGGGTGGAAGTGGGAAGGAGAGGGGGACTTTTGAAGGGGTGGGAGAGGAGGATAACGCTGGGTGGGTGTTAATATTCATTTTTGGGGAATAGAGATATGAGTGGATATAATAAAAGGAAGAGAAAAAAGCAGTGAAGAAGATCCAATAAAATGACGCTCCGCTGGCCCTCCGGGGGCCACTGCCGTGGAGGCAGAATAAAGCAGTCTAATCGAGCGAAGCGAGCTACGGGGGTTTGGGGGCCTGCCCCCATAAACAAAGCAAGCAACTAAGCAAGTACTCACTCACTTACAGCGCAGCTCTTAACCAGCAAACCAAATCCCAAACCCTCACAAGTACGCACAGAAAGAAAGGGAGTAGGAGTCCTACGATTTAAACAAATCCGGTCTCATGACACCGCACCAGGCGGCGACCACGGCCCCAAAATCATGACCAATCACACAGGCTACATTTTTGTGGCCCAGCGCGTCGACGAGGAATACCATGTCGGTGACGAGGCGAGAGATGGTGGTGCTGTGGAGATCGACGGTGGAGAAGGAACGGGTGTCGTGGCCGGTGGTGCGGCCTGCGCCGCGTTGATCGGGGGCGACGACGTGGTAGCCGAGGGAGGAGAGGGCGGGCAGGAGATAGCGGTAGGAGAAGGAGAGTTCGGGGAAGCCGTGGAGGAGGAGGAGGAGCGGGTGGGAGGGGCTGCCGGATGTGAGGAGGTGGTGGGTTAGGTTGGGGGTGGAGAGGTAGTGAGAGGTTATTCCTGGGGGAAGGGGGAGGGGTGGGAGGGGTGTGGAGGTGGAGGTGGAAGTGGAGGTGGGCATTTTTTGATTGTGGGATTAGGATGAAGGGGATATGTATGATGGATGTGGACGTTAGAGATGAATTGAGATGTCAAATAACTGTTAATACCTATAGGTAGGCATCTATATGGGTATACTATTCCCAATTCTTTCCCCTCAATTCATATCTCCCTATCTCCATAAGCCAGATTTTCAATCACGTTATTATGATACAGTGTATTAATTAATTGCGGAGACATGATCTGCAGATACCTAGACAGATCTGTGTGATGCATAGATAGGTACCTAGTACACCTAGTACGGTAGGTATATGTAATGTGTAACATATCCTCGGTATATCGTACGAAGGATGGATGATTTTAGTTGTGTTTGGTCTGAGCGTGGAAGAGTTGTCACGTGATATATGGAAATTTTGAGGGTCTGTGTGTTATACATGTAATCTTGGGAGATATGCGTAGGTACGTACTTGACATAAGAGTTGAAAGAAAGGATGGAATGAATCGAGTAATCACTAGATATAATTAGTTACTACAATTACTAGATACTTAATTATATCTATGAAAAGTAAGGAAGGAAATCATCGAGAATGAAATACCTACCGGTACTCTTTCTGTATTACTATACCTAATACTGAAAGCTACTCATACCTCGGTACTTATCAGTATTCCATCTATGTCATCATACATTACGTACCTGGGTATTTGATGTAGCGGACCGGGCCCATCGCTCAAGTCTAGTCCTTTCGAAGTGTGGCTTAGCTGGAGGTATTAGATTGATTGATCTACGAACGGAAGGGATGGATCGATGAAGAATGATGAATGATGAATGGGGATTTGGTGCTCTGTCACTCTGGAGGTGAGGGATTGTTTCATGGGCAAAGATCTTTTTTCGCCATTGGAAACTTTATTTGGAAGTTGGAGTTGGGGTTGGGGTTGGGGTTAAACTTGGGGTTGTGTTGGATTGTGTAGGTTTGTGTGGTATGGTATGGTGGAATTCCTGGCAAATAACAAGGAACCAAGTTGTATATAAACTTTTGAACTTTGAACCTTCGAATCGTGTACTCCGTAAAGACCTCCCACCTCCCCTATCTTATGTAAGTGCGCACTCAGGTATTCACGATGAAAACTCGTTTGATCAGATCAACGAGTCCCTCCATCTTTCACTGATATCGTTAGTAAATTCGTAGTAAATTCCAAGCAAAAGGTTCCCAGTAGTAAGGAAAGAGAAGTGGAGTAACTATTGGTTTAGTACTTATATGACCATTACTAGGTAAATGTTGGAATTTTATTGCAAGCGGTGCCGTCCAAACTCATAATTAAGAAGTTAAATGATATGATTTGATATGATTTGATATGATTTGATATGATTTGATTTGATTCGATTGAAATGGATGATGAAGGGATCCCCAAACTACCTATACCTACTATTACTATGTGTTTGTTGGTGTTTCGATAGTAGACTTAGAATCAATAGAGAAATCTTCAAAACCTCTCTTTTCTTTCCATCTCCCCCCTCTCTGTCTTGCCTTTTGTGAATTTTATGAACAAAAACCTCATTTGCATCATTTTATTCAAATAGCCATTTCGGCTCTTCAAAATAGACCTACTGAGTACTCACACTGAGTACATAACTTGATCTAGACCTCACTTGTCTTGTCTTTCTCCAAAGTTCCACCCTTCACTTCAACTCACACAAAATCCCATCAAACGTCCTACCGCCATCTGCTACGAAGTAGCTACCTAGATAGTATCCTTCCCACCTTTCAACGATCTGATCCTCACTCACCTGCATTTTGGATGCATTCATCTTCTTGACCGTATCCACCTACTTTCAAATTTACTCCATTTTCGAGCATCAGAGTTACTCCATTTGAAAGCTCTTGGATCCTGATCTACCATCACCGACCAAAAAGAGAAACTCCATAACCCACTATTTCTTCTGCACACAAGCATCATCAGCCACAACTTCAATTCAACCAAACACTGTTCAAGGGATTCCCAAACATCCCAGTTGTCATTCCAAATTTCATTCGCCTACATCACCAGTCATCATCGAATCAGCGACTAGGCGTGACGGGATCGTCATATTCTTGTATTGTTATCTTACGGAAAGGGAAAATAGTCATCGGAATCTCATCATTTTCCATTTCCTACATTATTTTTTTCAATGCGATAATATCCTCATTAGCCCATAGTTGGCAGAGGGTAACAAGGCGATTCAGCCTGCGACAATCAATATGTTTGGAAATAGAAGGAGAAGAGCGGTTTCGAATCCGGTATGTTTGTTAGATTTCGTTGTACTGCATTCCATTCCAACATTTCATCAGTGTTTTTTCAGGTTGCGCGACAGCTCAATCGCAATTGGCTTCCGGGAGGATCTTTGCATGAGACAGAGTACATGCAGCCACACTCATAATAAATGCTAACAGGTTTATTTCTACAGCCAGTAAATTCAAATGTCAACGCATCTGCCGCGACCGCCGCGGCACAGGCATTTCTATCTTCTCGGGCATCAAATACTTCTTTGTCTTCCGCTGCAGCAGCTGCCGCATTACGATCCAGACCAACTACGCCTACTTCGGTGGCAGATATTCAAACCAAAAGAACAATTCGGAGAAACGGTTCAACCTCTTCTGCTGGAAGTTCTGTCGGCGGTTCCGTACGTGGTCCACCAGGTTCTACCCTTGTGAGAAGAGGAAGTTCCGGTTCGATGACTGAACGAACTTTTCGGGAATCGTCACCAGTTCCAAGTGCATATGATGCGCCGCCTGTCCCGGCAATTCCGCAAAGTATCACAAAGGCTGGTGGGAAGAAGTCACGAAGATCTGCAAGTATGGATGCACCTGGATTGAGAATCGCATCACCACCTCCAAATAGAACTGGTGGGAGAGGTTCGAGTCTTGGACCATCAGCGACAGCATCGCGTGGGTCGGGTCCAAGAAACCCAAGTTTGTCCAGTGTATCTGAGATGAATGGGGAGAGTAGAGGGTCCGTCAATTTTTCCTACCCTACGAGTACAAGGCCAATGTCTCCTGAACAAAGACGGCTAACATGTTCTGCAAGCTTAAGTTCAAGCCCAAGGATTGTTTCGCCACATGACCAAAATCTAGTATACGATCCAAATACCAGACGTTTCTTACCGCTAGCGGATATTCTAGCTATCGAGCAAAGATTGAATGGAATTGCTAATGCTCCAGTGAAAAAGAAGAAGCGAACTCCGCCTGCACAAGGTACTCATCTAGCAGCCGGATCAGTGGGTGGAAGGATAAAGGGCACCGCGGTGGATGCAATGGAAAGGGCATCAAACACATCAACCACACATCAATCGATATCACAATCTACCCAACAACCCGTATCGCAGCCCACTCAGCAATCCATTCCACAGCCTATACCAAAACCTAATAACACACCGAAATTACCCCCCGCACAAACCGAAACTTCTTGGGAAGATCCCCAATCTATCCCTGTCTCAGAATCAAATGCTCAGCAAAAGTCTCTTGCAGTGGCATCTCTACCAAAGAAGAAAAAGAAGCGCGTTATCGTAGCCGATTCTGATAGTGACCAGGCATCAATTCTACCAAATTCATCTGCTGATGAAAGTGACGTACCATCATATGGTTATAAAACTCGAGCAGGCGCCATCTTAGCGAAAAAACCATCAGTTGTACGTGAGGATAGAGAAAGAGAGGAGAAAGAAGATGATTCACCGTTACGCACTGGAAATGTAGGGGTTTTGGAGGATCGCATTGAACCCACAAGGACTATATCACCATCTCCTTTGCCTCGGTCATCCGCTGGTAGGGGACATGGCCGAGCGCAATCGTCAGCAAATTATGCGCAAGAACGCCAGCATACCAGATCCGCAAGCCAACCTCCAATGACACCTGTTGCTGCCCCTTCGTTAAATGAAGAATCTCCTCGTGGTGGTCGTGTCCAATCCGTGAGTCCTGCGAGAACTCCACATTTTATGGCAACCCCCGAAACCTTGACGGTTAGACACCAGCCACCTCCAAGATCTGTATCTCCACGAAAATCAGCCTTGAAACATTCTTCCATGTCCTCAATTGAACCTAGAGGACCATCACCATCTGACGGAGGTTCCTTTCGACTTAGTGAGGTTTCTAATGATGAGGAACAGCCAAGAAAGAAAGGAAACAGAGTTAGCTTTGATGAGGGAAATCACGTTGTGTTGGGTCAATCGACAACCTTACCTTCTGATTCACCAATGGTTCCGAGTCCACAAGTAAAGCGTAGCTGGTTTAATATTGGTCGTGGGAAGAAGAAGGGCATACATGCTACAGATGAAGATGACGACGAAGTAATGAAACCACGGCCAGCTCTTCCATCTTTTGGAAGTGTGAGGGAAAGAAAGACTCATCGAGAGACAGAAGAACGAGCTCTAGTCAGACCACCGGAGCAAGTAACTACTACTGCTCCTGTCACGTCTCCTACTTCACCATTGTTCACTTCCCATTCGGGAGATGTATTGGAATTTCCCATGGGACAATCAAATGATCATGTCGCAGGTTCACTACTCGCTCACGATGCCACTTCGAAAAATGCAGCAAACATTTCGAAATCTCGCGAGCCTCTACCTCCTGATCTAACATCTTTGGAAGGGACTGGGGAAATTTCAGATGCTAGCAGTACATATAGCTTAGATAATAATGCTATCGGTATCGCTAGAAGTAATAGTGTAAAAGTTGGACCAGAAGATGGACATGCTGAGACATATCGAGAATTGGCAAGCCCAACGAAAGATCAATTTGAGGATCACGAATTGAATGATGATATTCCGGAAATTGCTGTTCAAATGCCTACTCCAACTCCAGAAGGCACACAATCAAGAGAATGGCTGGACATGCCTGGTGGGTATAGGGGTTCAGGAAGTTCTACTTCGAGTTATGTGGATCAAACCAAGGATGAGGCTCATACTGCTTCTGAGAATGGTATTATTGGCACAGCTGTTTCGCCTACTTCAGAAACAGCAAATTCAATAAATGGTACCTCGAACGAGTCGGA